CTGTGCCACCCTCACACAGCGAGGCTGTGCCACCCTCAAACAGCGAGGCTGTGCCACCCTCAAACAGCGAGGCTGTGCCACCCTCACACAGCGAGGCTGTGCCAGCCTCAACAGCGAGGCTGTGCCAGCCTCACACAGCGAGGCTGTGCCAGCCTCACACAGCGAGGCTGTGCCAGCGTCAACAGCGAGGCTGTGCCAGGTCACACAGCGAGGCTGTGCCACCCTCAAACAGCGAGGCTGTGCCAGCCTCACACAGCGAGGCTGTGCCACCCTAAAACAGCGAGGCTGTGCCACCCTCAACAGCGAGGCTGTGCCACCCTCAAACAGCGAGGCTGTGCCAGCGTCAAACAGCGAGGCTGTGCCAGCGTCAAACAGCGAGGCTGTGCCACCCTCAAACAGCGAGGCTGTGCCAGCCCCCACACGCGAGGCTGTGCCGGGTGCCGGGCCGCCAAACGCGAGGCTGTGCCAGCCTCACACAGCGAGGCTGTGCCAGCGTCAAACAGCGAGGCTGTGCCAGCGTCACACAGCGAGGCTGTGCCAGCCTCAAACAGCGAGGCTGTGCCAGCGTCAAACAGCGAGGCTGTGCCACCCTCAAACAGCGAGGCTGTGCCAGCGTCAAACAGCGAGGCTGTGCCAGCGTAAACAGCGAGGCTGTGCCACCCTCACACAGCGAGGCTGTGCCACCCTCAAACAGCGAGGCTGTCCCAGCGTCAAACAGCGAGGCTGTGCCAGCGTCAAACAGCGAGGCTGTGCCACCCTCAAACAGCGAGGCTGTGCCAGCGTCAAACAGCGAGGCTGTGCCAGCGTAAAACAGCGAGGCTGTGCCAGCGTCAAACAGCGAGGCTGTGCCACCCTCAAACAGCGAGGCTGTGCCACCCTCAAACAGCGAGGCTGTGCCACCCTCAAACAGCGAGGCTGTGCCACCCTACACAGCGAGGCTGTGCCAGCGTCAAACGGGAGGCTTTTTTTTTTTTTTTTGGGCCACCCTTTCCCACCCAGGCGTCCCCAGCGAAAACCCAGCGAGGTTGTGCCAGCGTCACACAGCCGGAGGTTTGTGCCAGCTCAAACAGGGGCTTGCCACCCTTTCACACAGCGAGGCTGTGCCAGCGTCAAACAGCGAGGCTGTGCCAGCGTCAAACAGCGAGGCTGTGCCACCCTCACACAGCGAGGCTGTGCCACCCTCACACAGCGAGGCTGTGCCAGCGTCAAACAGCGAGGCTGTGCCAGCGTCAAACAGCGAGGCTGTGCCAGCGTAAAACAGCGAGGCTGTGCCAGCGTCAACAGCGAGGCTGTGCCAGCGTCAAACAGCGAGGCTGTGCCAGCGTCAAACAGCGAGGCTGTGCCAGCCTCAACAGCGAGGCTGTGCCACCCTCAAACAGCGAGGCTGTGCCAGCGTCAAACAGCGAGGCTGTCCCAGCGTCAAACAGCGAGGCTGTGCCAGCCCCCACCAGCGAGGCTGGCCCCCTCAAACCAAGCGAGGCGGGGCCAGCGAAAAACGGGCGGGGCCCGGGTGCCAGGCCCCAAAAACCACGGGCGGGCGGGCCGGGGGCCTCAAACGCGAGGCTGTGCCGCCAAAACGCGAGGCTGTGCCACCCCAAACAGCGAGGCTGTGCCACCCTCAAAGCGGGGCTGTGCCCCCTCAAACAGCGGGCTGTGCCGGGGCCCAAAATGCGGGGGGGCCCTGTGCCGGGGCGCAAACCAGGGGAAGGCCCCGGTGCCGGGGCAAACCAAGGCGGGGGGGGCCCTGTGCCGGGGGAAACGGGCGGGGGGGCCCCTGTGCCAGGGGGGGGTTCCCAAACCAAGGCGGGGGGGGCCCTGTGCCGGGGCGAAAAACCCCCAGGGGGAAGGCCCCTGTGCCGGCTTTCCCAAACGCGAGGTGTCCCCAAAAGGGGGGCCCGCGGCAGGGGAAGCGCGACGGTGTCGCGGGGAAGGGGGGGAAAGCGCGACAGTGTCGCGGCAGGGGAACGCGACGGTCGCGGCAGGGGAAGCGCGACAGTGTCGCGGAAAAGGGAAGCGCACAGTGTCGCGGCAGGGGAAGCGCGACAGTGTCGCGGCAGGGGGGAAACGCGGGGGGGCCCTTCGCGGCAGGGGAAGCGCGACGGTGCGCGGAGGGGAAGCGCGACAGTGTCGCGGCAGGGGAAGCGCGACAGTGTCGCGGCAGGAGAAGCGCGACAGTGTCGCGGCAGGAGAAGCGCGACAGTGTCGCGGCAGGGGAAGCGCGACGGCCTCGCAGCAGGGGAAGCGCGACAGTGTCGCGGCAGGGGAAGAGCGACAGTGTCGCGGCAGGGGGAAGCGCGATGACGTCGCGGCAGGTGAAGCGTGACAGTGTCCCAGTGACAGTAGACGATACTTCAAAAAAAATTATAATAAAAATATAGGGTAGGTCAACTGTGGGGTAGGTCAACCTTTTTTGTTAATATTTATAACACTATTATTTATAGTCCCATATTTTTATTCAAATATTTATATTTATAATTTTATTAGTAAATATATTGGTATGTCAACTGTGAGGTAGGTCTAATGAACAGCCCCGTTCGTCGCTCCGTCTCTCTCGTACCCACGGAGCGCCCCGTCAGGTTTACGGGGTGCGAGAGAGACGGAGCGACGGGAAACTGCGCAGAATGGCCGCCCTGCAGGGCTGAACGGGTCACGCGGCACGCACCTCTACTTTGATCCTGTTCTGTAGATTGGAGCTCGTAAACCAAGCCGGTCACTCCAGTTCGTGATGGCTTCTCAACTTTGTAGTGCGGTGATTGCCTGCTTGTCATCTTTATTTTCTTCCGCGCACTTAGTGCTTTGACATTGGAGTTTTCGCGCAATCCGAATACGTATCCCGCGGCTGTACATCAGCAGAGATCGACTAGGAAGTGCGGTGTGGCACGAGTCCGGCACGGGTCGGATGCGCCGAGTGGCCACTAACTGGTCACACCGGTGTGGCCAGACCCATCTGCGGCCCGGCCTGGTCCGGCAGTCCGGCGGGCGGTCAGTGCACGGCGCCGCGCACGTCCGAAGCGCGATGCCGTCGCGATGACCGAACCACGGACCACGGCGCCATCGCGGACCTCGCGAACGCACCCCGACGGGCCGATCGCTGCACTGCCGTCTCTCTCGCACTCACGCGGCGCCCCAGGGCCCCTAGGGGTGCGAGAGAGACGGTGCCGCCGGGACGCGGAAGAGGAGCAGCCGATGCGCGATGCGCAGCGCGGGGTGCTCCATGGCCAAGGCGTCCAAACACAGGCGGTCCTCGTCCTCGCCCAGGCGGAGTGCGGAGCGCGGAGCGCGGCGTCAGCAGCTCTCGGGCAGAGGAGTCTCAAAGGCCGGCAGGGCTCGCTCTGCCTCTCTCGCGCGCCTTCGGGACGGCCATGAGTGCGAGAGAGACAGAGCGGCGACAGCCCGCCGGCCTGGTCGCAGAGAAGGGCGTCTCGTTTTGGCGCGAGATGCTCGTTCTTGGAAGAGTAGTTGGTGCCGCGGAGGCCGCGGGCTGTAGCGGGCAGCAGCCTACCCCAATAAAGCCGACGGCGAGGCAAGCCAAGGCTGCGCTCAGTGAGGCAGGCCCAGGCCCAGGCTGCGTCGCGGCAAGTGCGGGCCGGACACTTACAGCCCGCCGGGCACTGCCGGGCAGCGCGCCGGCATGGCGCCTGCCATGCCGGGGGTAGGCAGTCCCGGCGCGCACCGTGGTTCGGCGGGCCGGCCCGCCCTGGCCCCTGCAGGCTGATCCAGCCGCTGCACAGTGGGCCAGAAGACCGGCTAAGGCGGCCAAAAATCTAGACGCGTTTTGAGCTCCAGAGTCGCTAAACAGGCCTCGAACTGAACGTGTGACCCCTCCAATGGATTGCTCTCCGAACGAGGAATCCATTGGTGGGGTCACACGTTCAGTTCGAGGCCTGTTTAGCGACTCCGCAGCTCAAAACGCGTCAAGAGTTTTGGCCGCCTCCTCGGCCTTCTGGCCCACTGTGCGCTGTCTCCCTCTGCCTCACTCGCGGGGCGTTCCGCAGCGGTGCGACAGAGACAGAGCGACGAAAGAAATGTTCGGAATCAGCGTGCAGGCGACAGGAATCACGCCGGTCGCTTGAAGCGCGGCCAAACACGAAAAACAGGCGCTGTTATCGCGAGGGCCCCCCTCCAGTCCGCTTCCCGCTGGGCCACGCGGCCACGCCGATTCGGATTGGGTATTTCCCGGCCAACTGGCTCGCGTAATTTAATGAGGCGATGCCACCGATATCCTGATATTGTTTAGCAGCCTTTGTGGATCTTGGGCATGCGGACGACGAACGCGTTGGGGGGCTATTTCGGTAGTGACTTTTCGGTTGACAAGTGGTCGAGGTAGTTTTAACCCTTCGCAGGCAGCAGGGCCGCATGATGGCGACTCTCGGACAGGCTGTGCACTCAGCAATAAAGAGGATCAGATAGCCAGTGCGGGCGCCCTTCGCTAGGTTGGTACCCTTGGCTGATTGAGGCCATTAGTGTGGTGGCAGCACTGCCAAGCACCGCCACTCCACCTGAACCTCGCGGCCGCGGAAGTCCGAGACCGGCCATTCGCAGTGACGGTGGCGCGGCCGCTGCATCGAAAAAAAAGTAATTAGTGCCGAACTGGCCCACGGCTTCGATACTCGAGGAAGAAAAACAAACGCAGCAAACAGAAAACAAAACGCGCGAGTACAGCGCCAAGCAAAATCCCCCCCCCCTCCCCCATCGGGTTTGATCCGGGGATAGCCAGTCAAAAGTCAGTCCTCTACTTTCCGGTCACGCGATCGATTCCCAAGACATCTTTTGACATCGTGCCCTTGCCGTCCTGCTGCAGGTCCGCCGCCCGCCTCGCGCCGCTGCTGCTCCTGCTGCTGCAGTGCCTCGCGGACGTCGGCGTCCTCGGGCAGCGGCGCTACTCCAAGTTCGGCGTGCCGCAGATCTACCAGCGCGTGTCCAGCGACGACGACGCCATCGTGTTCCCGGGCGAGGCGAGCAGTGCCTTCCAGTCGCTGTACGAGGAGACGGTGGGCTACCAGGGCCCCGGCATCGACCGCTTCAGGCTGGCCGCCGAGGCGCTCTTCAGCATCGCCGTGCGCCTGCAGGGCCTGCTGGAGGACCCCAACAGCCTCACGTGAGTGGAGTGCACCGCAGGGCCGCACCGAGGTGTTCGCCGCGCGGTGGGACGGCGTTCGCTGTGCAAATTTCCAGCATGATTCATTTGCTTTGACCGGCCGGAGATCCGCACGGCGGGCACAACGCGTTTCCTGGCCAAATGTTCTCATGCCCCTCACTGGAGCCGACGCGAGCGATCAGAGTCACGGAAGTGAGGCGTCGGCCGGCGGCGCGCTGGTGGGAAGCACTGACTAGGAGGTCGGATTATTTCTGACTCATTAAGGCAGTACCAACTAACTGACACGCTTTGCATGGACGCGCGTTGGCGGCGCACCTCTGCCTTCGCAGTTTTTCATCCCGGAAAAAAAATCTTCATCCCGTTGTTTGTAAGGAGAAGGCGGCCCGAACGCCAAATGGCGCGTCGGACATCGGTCTTCTCCAGTGAGACTGAGTCTGGCTGGCTGGAGCGTGTTGGCGTGCGTGGTGTGAGTGTCAGCGCTGATCCGTCTAGGTTATTAGAATCTCACGCATGCATGCGCTGCTGAAACGCGGCGTGGACCTTTTCGAATGGCAGAGGGCTGATTTCGAAACGGTGCTGTCTCTCTCGCACTCGTGGGGCGTCTCGCAGGGGTGCGAGAGAGACAGGGCGGCGAGACGACCGTTTCGGAGTCGGCCTGGCGACGCCTTTGCCCGCGGCACGCGTTGGCCTTCCAGTTTGCGCACTTGCAGTGTGGGGCGCGTTTTGGCGCCGTGTCGAACACTTGACTTGCCATTCGCTAGCCGCGTGCTGCCAATCAGCCAATCACAGCCGAGTTCAAAACTCATTCCACGCCGCTGCTTTATCCGCCGACATTTTTCATGTTGGAGCATGCATGGGCATGACGACGCCCGCTGTTTCCGCCTCCGTCCGAACAGTGCTTTCGCGCTGTCTCCCTCGCGCTCTCAGGAAGGCTACTATAAGTGCGAGAGAGAGAGACAGCGCGACGAAGATCTGAGTGGAGGTACGCGGCGGTTTGGCGGGCGGCAGAGACAGGTGGCTTGACGAATGGGCGTCCCCGGCGTCCATGTCTCCGGGCCGTACGGCCGTACTCTCGGGCTATTATCCGAGTCTGGCCGGCCTTTGGGACTGCTTTGGGTGCGCGGCGACGCGACGCGTCTCGACGGCGGCGGCGCCATGGCGGCGCGCTTCGCGGAAATGCTGCCCCCGAGGGGGCCGCCGCCGCCACTCCCATTTGGCTGTCACCGTCGGCGTGCCGTCGGCGAGGTGCATCCGGACGACCCGGGCGCCGAGAGCCGCCGACGCCGACTCCCGGTGACGACTCATCGCGTCCGTGACCGTCGGCACGTCGCAGGGGCTGTGCGTTCGTCGCGCTGTCTCTCTCGCACTTGTGGGGCGTGCCGCTGGCGCCGCTGGTGCGAGTGAGACAGCCTGGCCCTGGCCGTGAAAGTGGCGGCGATGACGCGCTGCTCCGCGTCGCGCTTCGCACCCATTCGGCGCGGCTCGGCCAAAGCCAAAGCGACATTGTTTGTCCGGCCCTGCTTTGCATGAGCCGATGAGCCTTCGACGGGCCCCGACAACCACGCGGCAACCGCGCGGCAACCATGGGCGGGCAACGCCCACCACCAGTCGCCACCACGGGCCCACGATGGCAACCAGCACCACGGACTCCGCCGACAATGAACCATGGATCAACCGTTTACTGCTCGGCATCAACCATTAACTGCTCCAGAAATAGTCGCATGCAGGGCCGAGGGAAGTCCCATGAAGTACTCGGAGATGGCGTCGCCATGGTTACCACGGCGCGGAGCGTCACCGACATGAAAACACCATAAAGCACGTCGAAGAAGTAGAAGCCATTACGTTCGTGCGACAATTGGCATCCATAAGGATACGTGTGCGTGCCGAAAGACACGGCCCCTGCCCCGTGACCTTCTAAGGCATGCCGCCGACCTTGAGACTGTTCTATGGGCGTCCATACAGTGAGGTCAGTGTGACTCCTCCTGCCCCAATCAAGGAGGATAATCTGAGCTCGCCAAGCTCGTCGTACAACACTCGTCCCACTCTCGTCCCTCTCTCTCTCTCTCTCTTCCTGCGATTTCTCCCCGGTGATAATGTGCGACGTCCTCTGCCCTCTACACTGTACCGGGTGCCGGGTGTCGGCGGGACGTGGTAACGGTGTCTGGTGTGCAGCTCTCTCGCGGCACGCCGCGGCACGCCCCGCGAGCGACCGCCAAATTGTTTTCGTTTTTTGATAATGGCGAGGAGAGTCAGGATCTCGCTCCGCGGCCTCCGCCACTGCCTCCGCCAGTGCCTCCGCGAACCCGCGTCCGCCGTCCGCCAAGGCCGCGCGCACCTCGGCCCACCGACACCTACGCGTCGACGGCCGGCTAGATTTCGGCTTTTGGCGAGGCGAAGTGGAAGACGCGGCCGCAGCTTGCGGTCTGCGCCCTCCGCGCTCCTCGGCGTGTTGTTGTTGTTTGTGTTTTGCGGAAGGGAACCACGCTTCCCGCGGCCACAGTGTCGATTGCAATTCCTCGGCGCGGTGCGCGGTGCAGGCGTATGCAGTGGGAAAGGAATATTATTTTAGGAAGCCGAAACGCAAAGGCCTGGGCCTTGGGCCGCGGTGGGCCGCCGTGGCCGCTTGGCTTTGGCTTGGGTCACTTGGGTGGGAGTCGCGATGATATCAAGAATGCGCCTCGGTATTCATGAGGCTCTTGACAGGGAGGAAGTCGCGCGGCTCGCACGCGAGGGGTCGCTCGCAGTGTCGCCAAGGCGTTGATAGTCATTAATAACCACAACGAAATGCATTTGGCGGAGAAATGCTCTCGGTCGGAAGAAAAGCCGGCAGAAAAAGGGTCGCGTCGGAACATCGAGACATCAAACACAACACGCGCTGGTGGCCGTCTGCGCCGCGTCCCCGCGGTCCGCGGCCGCCCGACAGGTTGGCACATACATCCTGGCCCGCGCGGATGACACTGGAGTGCAGTCTGCCTTTTGTCGTGGAAGGCGGGGCGGGGCGGGGCGGGGCGGGGCGGGGCGCTGGGCATCGGAGGATTGGAAGTGTGTCAGGGAGGGCAGCCTGCCGAGCAGCCTGGCTCCTCTGGCGCGCCGCGGCACCGCGGCACCGCGGCGCGACAACCAACGACCGGCAACCAGCGACTGCACCGAGTCAAGCCACGCGAGCAATGCCGCTTCCTACGCGACGCACACTGTGGGCACCGCTGTGCAATGGCGCCCCCTCGCTCTGTCTCTCTCGCACTCCGGACGCCCCTTGACCGGTGCGAGAGAGACAGAGCGACGGGGCACTGTTCGGAAGGAGCCTGCTGTGCTGGGCGGTGGCCTTTCCTCTGCGCGGTGAGAAAGTCCGCCGTGACTGTGTGTGTTTTCGCGCGTTGTGCAGTGCGAGTGGAAGTTAAAAAGTGAGTCTGCTGAGTAAGTCGGTGAAGTGCGTGTGCCGTGTTTAGATGCGGTTAGCGCTGTCGGTGTGTGCCTGTGTGCGCGTGTGCGTGTGGCTACCGGTTATTGACTGCAGCGCGAAGTATGAGAGTGAGAGTGCGTGTCCGCGGCGTCCGACTGACTCACTGACGGACACACGAACAGACAGACAGACCGGTGGACGGACGGACGGGCTGAGGGACATAAGGCGCTGGCCGAGAGACTTTTGAATGGGCTCCTTCAGAAGCCGGCGGCTGGGGCGTGAGTGTATCCACGGTTGTTCGATACGACGTACCGGTGGCAAGGCAATCAAAGTAATCAAAAGTGACGACTCACGCGAAAACGCGTCAAAACTGTGGCGGTATTCGGGCGACGTTTTCATGACAGTTCACGAGGAAGGGTAATGACACTGCAAAAGCCGACGGACGTACTCACACGTCCGAAAAAAAACCACAAGTTTACAATGCCAATCATTTTGGCAAAAAAATATTTTGCACAGTGCCCTACTATGTGAAAGACTTTATTAGTTTATGTACATTCTTTTTACTGCCGGAAGGTTGTACAAAGGCTTCACTGACGGGAGAGTGAAGTCTCGCGATGAGACAGTGGGTCGACTGGGAAGAATCGTGAATCAAACACCCTGCAAAATTTCAGTTTTCATTATTTTATTTTCATGTTGTTTTGCACTGGTGGGAACCCTCAGGTCAAAATGCTTTGCTTCTTGCATTGGAAACAAAGCAAGAATAGAATGCACCGTGGAATACCTAAAGGTGGCGCGGCGGGACCTGAAGACATCCTTGGGGTGTCCACGAGGCACGCGGCCCCGAACTCCAGGGTTAAGCTGCTTGTGGTACTTCGCGACCATCGTGCCGTCGGCGTCCTGTCCCGTCGGCGTCCAGGTTGGTACGCGTGGCACGGTCGGCACGGCGCCCCCAGCAATGGCAAAGGTCGAATCCTCCACTCCAGCCGATTCAATTTATCTAGGCGTGTTGTGGGTCGACTGGTTCGGTCCCGTGACAACTCGCTGTGCTGTGCAGACAGACTCGCAGACACACTCGCAGACTCGCACTGGCGGTGGACGTTCCCGCTCTTGACCTCCTTGGTGGCGGCGGCGCGTAGCCGCGCGGTGCGTGGTGACACCACGGTGACCGCGGCGGGGCTGCCGGCGGGGCCCTGCCCTGCGCTGCCGGGGCGTAGGCCGGCGTACGTACTCGCCGTACAGTTCACTTTCCCATCAGCAAGGCCGGGGGGGCCAAAGAGGTCACTCGGGCACCCTTTTCTCGGAAGCATTCCTCGCGCACCGGATGCCGTCCCGTTTTCGCGGCCCGTCGCACCGGCCGTCGCTGTGCGCAGGGCCGCGCAGGGCTGGAGGCGCACTCCAAGAGGGACCTTGCGGCGCCTAGAGGACGCCTTGTACGGCGGCACTAAAGAGCCACCTGTGAATAACGCTATTCATCGGGACGTTCTAGTGCACTGTAGCGTCTAGCCGGCGGCGCCAAGCGCGTCGGTGCGGCGGGGAAGGCCGACGGTGCGATGCCGAGAATCTCGTAATCGTAACCATCGCCTTCGAGGAAGCCGCGCGCTTTGTAAGTCACCTGGTCACGGGGAATGCGTGCCCCCTGCGTCACGAACGCAGCGCCGACAAAAACAGAGGGGGCACCCGGGTTTGAACCGGGGACCTCTCGATCTGCAGTCGAATGCTCTACCACTGAGCTATACCCCCGACGAGGGCGACGACCTGCAGCGTCGCCTCTTGAGCGCGCGCCTCTGGATCCCAGTGCTGACCTTGCGCTGGGCGCGCGCGCGCGCGTGCCGGTGGGAGAGGAGGGGGAGCTCGGACTGCTCGGACGCCGGGGGAGGGGAGAGGAGGGGGAGGGTGAGAGTTCGCGGTTCGCGCCGTAGCGTCCTCTCATAATCATTCAGCTGAACTTGAAATTTAAATGAGCAGCGAAACTACGAGGCGCCCCACCCCGCTTGACGTGAGGCTCTTGGTTGCAGCAACGGCCCCCGAGGCAACTTCTTGGTGTCGCCGCTGTCCGTGACGTCCGCCCTGGGGCAGCTGGCGATGGGGTCGCGCGGGGAGAGCCACCGGCAGCTGGGGGAGCTGCTGTCCCTGCCGGGCCGCGCGGGCCAGGCCAACCGGAAGCGCTCCGTCATGCAGCTACACCTGCAGATGGGCGGCCTGCTCGAAATCCTGCGCTCCGACTCCAGCGCCTTCCAAATGCACACGGCCTCCGCCTTCTTCGTGGCGCCTAACCTGCGCCTCTTCCCGCGCTTCAAGAGGGAGGTCAACGAGCTGTACGGCACGCAGGTCATCAGCACCAACTTCGGGTGAGTACCTAGTGCTCAACCTGCACTAATGCCGAGACCGAGAGTCGTTTTCATCGCTCTGTCTCTCTCGCACCCACACGGGGCCTCTCCCATGCACCTATGGGTGCGAGAGAGACAGAGCGACGAAAACGACTCTCGGAGTAACAGTGGAACAGCGACCACAGAGTGAGAGTGAGAGGGCAGTGGGCAGTAGGATGCGTGGAAGAAGCTTAGCAGAACGGAACCTCAGAGCACATCAAGTTTCACTCTGAACGTACGTGGAGCAAGCTTCGCAGACCTGAAAAAAATACCAGAAAAGAGCTACGTTCATCGCATCATCACGAAAAGGATTTTTGAATTTTGAGCGGAGCGATTATAAGACCCTTGGGAACAAGAGTTTTAAAATATTCATACATTTTGGCTACGCGCCGTTCCTAAAGTCCGGAACCAGTTCGAACTTTCCCGCGCCGTGGCCTTGACTTTGCTTTAGTGCTTTTGTGGAGGACGACACGGCGCGGCTTTGAGCTTTGACTGCGCCTCCAGGCCTCCAGCGAGGCGAAGTGAAGCGACGCGGCGCTTGACTGGCAATGAGTGGCAGCACGGCCGCGACGCGACGCCGCGACAAGGAGAAGAAGCGCCACTTTTATGTTGCCGTGACGCTCATTGCACGCCGCATTGCACGGGCGTGCGGCCGTGCCCAGCTGCAGGCTGAGCAGACCTTCCGGAGGGGAGCGAGAGAGACAGAGCGACGAACGCGCGTGTTGGGGTGGGTGCATGCTGCGCGGTAGCCGCTGGACGTGTGTGGAAGTGTTTCTCAACGCGCCAGACGCCGGTGGCCCGGTGCGGCGGGGCTGCTGAACACGAACATCGACGCCCACCTCCTGTAGAGACCTCCCGTCAGGCCTGCAGCTTGCAGGAGGGCGGCTGGAATCTTTACGACGCCATGTTTGACCTCACGGCTCGCGGCCCTGGCGGTGCCCTGGCGGTTCGAACATCCGTGGCGCCGCTCGGATTCACAACCACAAGGCCGACGTACAAGTACTCTTTCCTCTCAGTGTGCAGGGCGCACCGACACGTACTCGTAAACAGCGAGCCGAAGATAACAGTAATCGAAAAAGGAATTTAAATCAAAATATTTACATTATCTTATACTTCCTCGTGAAACTGTCTGGCCTGCGCAGGGACCCCGTCAACGCCATGCGCCGCATCAACACCTGGGTGTCGCAGCAAACGCACGGCCGCATCCCCCGCGCCCTGGCCGCGCCGCTGCCCGTGTCCACCGCCGTCGTGTTGTCCAACTCCATCTACATGAAGGCGGCCTGGCGGTTCCCCTTCTCGCGCGAGCTCACCAAGGTGGGCCCGTTCAGGCTGTCGCTGACGCAGCAGGTGCAGGTGCCGTTCATGCGGGGGCAGTTCAACCTGGGGCTGGCGGACAACCCGCGTCTGCGCATCCGCGTGCTGCACATGCCGTACAAGCGCAGCGACGTCGGCTTCTACATCATCCTGCCCTACGACATCAAGGTGCCCGACGTGCCCGATGTACGCTCCCGCCGCCAGTCGCCGTGTCTCTAACCGCCTGTCTTGCCCTTCTTGCAGTACGAGGAGTACGACATCCACAACGTCACGTCCCACCTCACGGTCCGCGACATGGTGGAGACGCTGAGCACCATGAAGCAGCAGCAGGTGGGTCCGCGCGGCACTCAAAGTCCCTCAGGAGCGCAGAGTTCCTCGCGCTCTTACGGGACGGCCCGTGAGTGCGAGAGAGTCGGAGCGACGATGGAATTTAGCATCGGATGCTGAATGTCTCCGCGACGCTTGTTTATTTATCAGGGGGTTCGTGCTTTTTGGCACGGACTTATACGCGTTATACGGCAAGGTGTGCGGGCGGGCGCGAAAAAGTAAACAGAACAACACGGTGGCGATTGGAAACGACTTTTGGCCACGCGATTTGACCCTGGATCCGAGGTCGCGCCGCTGTGCCGCGGGTTGCTGTATCTCGGGAGGGACAAGGGATGACGTCATTGCTTGCGCAGGTGACGGTGGCCGTGCCCAGGATGAGCTTGAAGGAGACGTTCTCCGTCAAGGAGCCTCTGCGTCGCTTCCAGGCGCAGTTCAACGGGCACCCCGACAGCGTCCTGGCCAACCGCATCCGGACGGCGCGCGCGGCCACTCGCAGTAAGTTGGCCCTTTCTCTCTGCGGGCAGTTCCACGAGAGTGACAGAGATGGTGACCCGCCGCCCTTTTGCAGAGGTGGAGATGAACGGCTGCAGCTGCACCTGCCCGGCGGCCAAGCCCGCGGCGCCCGAGAACCCCTTCGTCGGCACCCGCGGCGGCTTCCCGGCCGCCATCGGCAACCGCAACGGCTTCCCCAAGGAGGGCCTCGTCGCGGCCGCCACGGGCAACCCGGGCAGCAGCGACGACCCCCTCATCTTCAACATGACCAACGCCTCCAACGACCCGCGCTTCCGCATCCAGGACATCGTGCACCAGATGTTCCTGGAGGTGAACGAGGAGGGCACCGAGGCGGCCGCCGCCACCACCGGCACGGTGGACTACGCGGCTGGCACCGTGTTCCGCGTGGACCGACCCTTCACGCTCTTCGTGCGCCACGAGACGACGCTGGCCACGCTCTTCTGGGGCAGCATCGTCAACCCCGCGGCCTGAGCGCCATGAGCGCCGAGGCGGGGCGCCGTGAAGCAGGCAACCCAACGCACACCGCGCGCACACTGCGGTAGGATGGGTTGCCTACTCCCGCGGCGCCGAGCCTCTGACTTTCACTGTGTACGTGTATTTATTTATTCCGACTCTCTCAAATGTTCGACGGCGCGTCGCGAGGGGACCGCTTGTTCGAGTCTGGCCCAATCTTTGACGACCAAAGATTGCATGGCGGTGCCGTAATGCTGTGAGCGCTGGGGCGCGGATGGAGCTCTGCATCACGCCGAAGGGGATTCACCCCGAAGGGGATTCTCTCCGAAGGAGATGCAGGCCTCTAGGCGCGGATAAGTTGACGGTTTCCGTCAGTTCCTGTCTGTAGAACGACTAGGTTAAGTTTTCAGTGGCTGTGTCTTTAGCGTGTAAGTAATAGCGAATGATATTTCGTACTCTATAGTCTTAAGTAAATGTCTTTGTATAAAAAAATGTTAGCTCGTTGTTTCAGAAATAAAATATGTTAAAGTGAGAGGTATTGATTTATCAAGCGCAGCATTAGTCAGCCTTGCCATGTTTATTAAAATTTCTCAGGAACAACTCTATACCTGCAGTAAATGCAAAGTTTCACTGGTATAATTTACAACAAATTTGTTTTAAATTAATATAAAATATGTACACATTAACATTTTATACAATTTTCATAGTACATATAACAAGATTTACATAAACTTACAAACTCTTGGACAAACACACAACCTTTTGTGATCAGTTTAAAAAGAAATGAAACATAGCAGAATGAAATAAGAAGTAACAGAAACACAAAAAATTATGATTGGGTAGGCTATGCAAACTGATCACTAAATGTTACTGGGTTTTGATCCTTGGAATGGAAGACTCTTACCCTACATTAGCGATTTTCCTTAACTTACTTTACACATATTGCACTTTGGTCTCATCGAAAAAAAGTAAGGCACAAATACGCTTGTTGTGCCTAAATACAGTACATAAATACAACACTTATAACGAATGGCATAAATAAACAATACTGATTCGTTTCAGACGCGAAAGGTAAATTATACATTTCGTATGTTGTAAGAGATTGACTAGCGTTGGGGATGGCATGCACGCTTCGCCATCGCACAGGGCATCATCCTAGAGAGGATTCATTTTATTGCAATTTTGGAAATTTTCCCGCCCGAACCGCCGTTGCCAACCTGTTGAGCTTTCGTCAGGATTGCAGACTCAAAGTACACCAGCAGAAAACAAAAAAGAAACAAAAGCGACTAGCGGCGGCCCTGCTGTCAGCTGGTCCCGGGCGTGAGCGTCGTGTCTGGGCACGCTGGCGGTGCTGGCGGCAGGTTCGAGTACTCCGTCACCGGCCTGGGCATCCCGACGGGGACCTCGTAGCCGTCGCCGGCCCGCTCCTCCGCCGCGCCGTCGTAGATGAGCTCCAGGTACTTGGGGATGGTCTGCGGGATGGTCTGCAGGAACGGCACCCGATCGCGGCTGCCGCCGTCGCTGCCCGTCTTCCAGGAGTCGCCCGAGCTGTTGTGGTTCTCGTCCTCGAAGTAACCTCGATTGGCGACACCACCTGGGCAAAGGGCGGAGTTCTTACTGTCGGTTATTCCAGTGCGAAACCTTACCAGCTCTGACGAGAAAATTAATTCTCGTCGTACATTTGCAGTGAGCTGCTGGTTCTTACCATTGACTAGATTTAGGGGCGGGATCGGAAGTGACTGGCTCTTGGCTTTCAGGTCTTCCAGGATCTGCAGGCAGTACTTGAAGGTGGGCCGCGCCTCGGGCGCATACAGCCAACACTTCAGCATGAGCTGGTGCCTGGCGACGGAAAAAAACACACCATTAATTTCGGCCAAACTTCCGCGCAATCGTCCAGGAAACTGAAAGTGAACTTACAGGTCCTCCGGGCAGTTGCTGGGCCTGCCGAGGCGGCCGCCGCCGCGGACGTAGTGCAGCACCTCGATGTTGGTCCTGGCGGGGTAGGGCTGCTGCCCGAGGGTCATGACCTCCCAGACGAGCACCCCGAAGGCCCAGACGTCGGACTGGCACGTGAACACGCCGTCCATCAGGGACTCCGGCGCCATCCAGCGCACTGGCAGCAGGCCCTCGCCCTCCTTGCGGTAGTAGTCGTTCTTGTAGATGTCGCGCGCCAGGCCGAAGTCGCCGATCTTGACGATGCGGCCGCTGGCACCGCTGTCCAGGCCGCCGTCCAGGCTGGCCACCAGGCAGTTGCGGCACGCCAGGTCGCGGTGCACGAAGTGCATCTCCTCGAGGTAGCGGCAGCCCCGCGCCACGTCCACGCACATGCCCAGCAGGTCCTGCAGCGAGAGCCCCGACCCTGCGTTCTGGTGACGGAGAGGGAGCGGTCAGCGAAAAGAACGGGGAGCAAGTGCTTGCCGTGAATGTGGTTGAACGTTGAACCTACCGCTGCTGGTCGGCGGCACCGCAGGTAGCTGAGCAGGTCGCCGCCCTCCATGAGCTCCATGATGATGAAGTTGGGGTCGTTGTCCAGACAGACCCCCAGCAGCTCCAGGATGTGCGCGTGCTTGAAGTGGCTCATGAGCTGCGCCTCCTTCAAGAACTCGGACTTCTCCAGCTCCGTGGCGCCCTTCCGGAGCGTCTGCGGGAACAAGGCATGAAATGAGGCTCCGCGTCGGCGGGGTCGTCCACAAGCCGCCGTCCTCGAGGCTCACCTTGATCGCCACCCGCATGACGCCCTGGCCGTCGGCGAGGTCCCTGGCGTTGCCCTCGAACACCTCCCCGAAGGCCCCGCTGCCCAGGAACTTGGTGAGGGTGATCTGGTGCCGTCGGATGTGCGGCAGTAGGGCCACCTCCTCGTCGGTGGGGCCGTCCGGCGGGTTGCTGGCCGGGTAGGCCGAGTACAGCGTGTTGGTGCGGTGGATGAAGTTGCCGCGCCGAGGCAGCTCCCTCAGCGTGGCCAGCTCCACGTCCAGCGCGCCGTGGCCGCCGTGGCCGCCCACGCCGCCCACGCCCGCCGCGCCCACCGCCCCGGACGCCTGCAGGGCCTTCTTCTCCTGCTCCCGCCGCCGGTTCACTGCAAAGGAAAGTTAGCGTTACAGACGTACTGGCGGCAGAGCGTCAACAAGAGCACCGGCGAGCCGCCACTGTACAGTGTGCGCACCACAGAGGAAGATGAGGGCGGCCACGAAGCAGAAGGCGATGACGCCGGGGATGGCGATGCCCAGGACGACGCCCAGCTCCTGCTGGTCCGCCAGCAAGGCCGCCTCGCTCAGGTCGAAGCTCCGCGACTCGGCGCTCCAGTTGCTCCAGCCGTGCTCGTTGAGGGCGCGCACCCGGAACACGAACTGCGCGCCCAGCAGCGCGCCCGCGCCCAGCTCCGACATGATCCAGAAGTTGTCCGAGCCGTTGTAGAACGTCTCCCACAGCGGCTCGTCGGGCTGGGCGAGGTCCGAGGCGGAGTCCGCCTGCGGGTCCGCCTGCCTGCGGCTGCGCGGCGGCCACTCGGCGTCCTGCTTGTCCTGCAGGTCCAGCTCGTTGTGCGCGGACTTGCGGCGCACCCAGCCCTGCAGCGTGTACGCCTCGACGGGCGCGCCGTTGGGCTCGGACGGCAGCCACGTCACCTGCGGAGGGAGGCACGGGTCAGAAACTAGAAACACAGTCCATCGCGCTAGGTAAGACAGGCGAGTTCTTTGGCGCACCTGGTACACGGCGCGGTGCAGGTGCTGGATGATGGGGGTGCCGGGCGGGCTGGGCCGGTCGCCGTGCGTCTGGAACGTGAAGCGCGCGTCGCCGGGCCACAGGAAGGTCTGCGTCGAGTGCGGGAACGTGAGCTCCAGCCGCATGGTGTAGTTGGTCTTGGGCTGCAGCCCCTGCACGAGCACGGGGGTGCCGTCGGGCTGCGACAGGGCCACGGTGCGGCAGGCCGAGGTGCCCGTCACGCAGTACTGCAGGGCGCAGCTCTGCAGGGACGCGTTGGCGGGCACGTCGCTCCAGGACACCGTCAGCGAGTACGGCGTGGTGACCACCAGACGCAGCGGCCCGGGCTCCGGCAGTGTGCGCACCACGGCCACGGCGCTGTCTGAGTGCGCGGCCTCGTCGTCCTGCCCCAGCGCGTTGGCGTGGGCGTGCGCGCGCACCCACACGGCGTAGGTCTGGCCGGCCGCCAGCTTGGTCAGGGTGGCCGTGTGCAGGTCTTTGCCGCCCTGGTCCGGGACGACGTCCTGCCCGGATGTCCCACGCGGGCCCTCGGCGCGCCAGTGCAGCTCGTACCACACGGACTCGGCGTGCAGGCGCTCGGGGGAACGCCACCAGACGCGCACCGTGCTGGGGTCCTCGGCGCGGAGGCGCACGTCTCGAGGCGGCGACGGGGCTGTAGGCATCAAAGTTCAGTTCAAAAATGTTTCAAGGACTCGTGTAAGGCCGATCAAACAGGCTGCAAGTGCTACCTCCTGCTGCTGTCTGGAAGACGACGGTGGGCCCTGGGACCACGGCCCGCTGCCCTGTGTAGAAGTTGGCCTGCGCCACCAAGAACACGTGCTCCGTGAAGGGCTCCAGCCCCGACACCTCCACCTCGTCGTCGTAGGTGACGGTCACGTCGCAGCGCGCCCTGTCCGCGCCGCAGTCCTGGGGCCGGCCGTGGTACAGAGTGGACATGACGGGCGCCAGCGACACGCCCCTGCACTGTGGCGGCCGCAGCGGCGTCGGCAGCCTCAGCCGCACGGAGGTGGAGTTCCTGGCCACCAGCATGACGGCCCCGGCTGGCTGGCTGGGCGTCAGGCAGTGCTCCGCGGGGTAGGGCTGGAGGTGCGAGCCCAGGGCGGCGATCCTCCGCACGCCGCTCAGCTCCCTGGCCGTGAGGCCGTGCGACGTCTGTGCGCCTTGCGGGGCCTGGATCTGCAGCCCCACGGCGTGCACCGCGTGCACCGCGTGCGCGTCGTGGGCCTTTGGCGCGGAGTACACGCGGCCCAGGGAGGCGTTGGCCCAGTACACGCGCTCGCCGTCCGCCGCCACGGCGCTGGGCGGCAGCCCCGCCTCCAGCCCGGCCTCGCGCAGGGCGCGCGCGTTGACGAGCACGGAGCAGGCGCACGCGTCCAGGTCGGCGGCCACCACGTCGCCGCCGCGGCCCTCGTCCACCCACACGACGCGCGGCCGGCCCGCGTCCGAGTGGTCCAGCGACAGGGCGGGGCCCACGCGCGTGCTGGCCGGGCAGGTGCACGCGCGGCGGCGCCGCTCCAGGGACGCGGTCCTGGAGAAGAAGCGCCTCGGCGAGGAGCCGTCCAGGCCGCTGGCCATGAGCACGCCGTCCTCCACCCACACCAGCGTGCTGTTGAGCGGCGCCGCGGCGAGCTGGCGGACGACGCCCTCCCTGCGCAGCACGGTCACGGGGGTCACGGGGGTGGCGGAGTCCCTGTCGAGCTGCAGCCTGCGCACCACGGACGCCGAGCCGCCCGCCGACTCGTCCAGCTCGGACCAGAACACGGCGCGCCCCACCCAGTCCACCGCCACGCTCAGGGCCGCGCCGGACAGCCCCGCCAGCTGGAAGGAAACAAACGTCGAACTTCAAAATTGCTGCTGCCGAGGATCAAACCCGCGACCCGACGGTGGGGCTGAAATACGAACCTTGGTCTTGTTCCTCCCGTCGAAGGAGGCCGCCCTGAGCTCCTGCGTTTCGCTGAGCCAAAGCACGCGGCCCTGGCCCTCGGCCGCCTTGCTGTGCAGGAAGGTGAGGTCGATGGGGGTGGCGGTCGCTCGCAGCAGCGTGGTCTCGGCGCGGCGGTCGCAGTCCTCCAGCATGAGGGCGTGCACGGTGGCGAGCAGCAGTCGCGGCACGGGGCGCTCGGCCCCGGTGTTGGCGGACACGGGGTGGCTGGGGGCGCCGCTCCCCGCCTCCGTGAAGGCCTGGACCTGCGCAAGCAAAGGGCGGCCGTTACTCAGGGCGTTCGGAGAGTGACGCGGAGGCTTGAGTGCAAGACGAGCCTCACCTGGAAGTAGTAAGTACAGTTGTGCTCGAGGACGGTGGCCTCATACTCCAGCTTGTCGGCGGGCAGCACGACGGGCTCGCACATGTGGAGGTCGCCGACGGGCCGTGAGTACCAGTACTTGACGAGGTACTTGTGGACGGGGCCGTTGGGCTGGCGCGGTGGGTCCCACCTGAACAAGGCCGTGATGTTGGTGGCGTCGTGGTGCCACCGGCGGGGCCCGGGCTGGTACGTGACGAACACACGCGGGTTGTGGGGCTCCCTGGGCCGCGCCGCGGGGCTGTGCAGGCGCGCCCTGGCCGCGGGGGCCGCGCCCCAGAACGTCAAGGCCCGCACCGTCACGTCCAGCTCCGTGTAGGGCGGGGGCTGGCCGCCGCAGCAGCGCACTGAGACGTGCATCGTTTCTTGCTGCAAACATCGTCAAACTTAAGTTTAAGTCGACATATTTTGACCAACTTTGCGACGCCACTGTTCCCAAACGAGTGTTGGCAATGGCATATCCGAAGGTAACTCACCGTCATCTCCTTGCCGGTGCCATCGCGGATTTTGACTTCGTAGAAAACTTGGCCGTAGTTGACGTTGGTCACGGCGTTCCAAGAGATGTTGAACGACTCCCACGACCCGGACACGCGGATGGAGGACTGCGCCACGGCCTTGGGGATCACGTCCACGTCCGCTGGCGAGTCGCCGGGCACGCGCTGCTGGTCGGGGTCCTGCACGGCGACGGTGTGCAGGTGCGAGAGGCTGGTGCCGCCGCCGCTGATGATGGCCGCGTTCTGGCCGCTGAGGTCGCCGATGACGGCGTTGCGGTCGTCCTGCAGCCACAGCAGGTGGTGGCTGAAGTAGCACAGCGGGCCCTGCATGCCCACGAAGAGCTGCGCCACTTGCGTGGGCTCCACCGCCTTGCCGGGCGGCAGGCGGAGCGCGTCGGCCGTCGGGGCACTGAACAACGCGGAGCCCTCATAGCTGCGCACCACCCAGTACAGGGACTGCGAGTCGGGCGCCAGCGTCAGCCCCATCACTGCAACAAGCAGGCGAAGCACGCCATCATGAACACGCCCTTCTCGGACTTGTCACGCGGTTAGAGCTGCCACTGACCGTGCTTGCCGGAAAACAGCTCCGCTGGGTAGTAGGTGCGCCGCCCCTTGCCGTTGAGGCGCGCACTCTCCACGCCGTGACCAGTGGACCAGTACAGGAAGGCGTTGGCCGCGTCCACCAGCAGCTCCTTGGCCACCGTCAGGATGGGCAGCGGCTCCTGCTGGCCGCCGAGCAGGTTGCCCCGCGTGATCTGCAAGGAAGCCGGCGACAGTGAGTTGCAGCTCGCGTGGCGTCGTTCGAGGCCGACACTTGCACTGCACTCACCAGCTGCTGCTTGGGGTTGGACCAGTAGAGCCGCTGGCCCACCCAGTCCACGGCGATGCTGCCCACGTTGTCCAGGTGCGGGAGGCGCGCCAGTTCGCGGCTCGTCAGGTTGTACACGTACACCATGGACGTGTTGGCGGCCAGGTACACGCGGTCGCGCCACCAGGCCAGCCCCGCGGCGTGGAAGGGCGCGGCGGAGCGGGCGTCGCGGAGGCTGTTGGCGTCGACGAGCACCTCCACGCGGTCCGCCGTCACGTCGGAGCGCAGCAGGCCCTCGGCGGCGGACCACAGCACGGTGGCGGGCGGCGGGTAGCTGCGGAGGGTGCGCGCGCGGAACTCGCTGCTCCAGGGGCCCACGCCGGCCGAGGTGTAGGCTGCGGCCTTGACGACGTACGGCGTGTCCTCGCGCAGGCCGTGCACCGTGCACCAGGTGGCGTTCACGTCGCGGTGCTCCAGGGTGTCGCCGCGGGCCTCGTCGCGCACGCTCAGGATGTAGGACCAGTCCTGCCACGCGCCGCGGCCCTGGCCGCCCAGAAGGTGCGGCGCCCGCCAGGACGCCTTGGCCAGCGCGGCGCCCAGCACGGCCTGCACCGCGATGGGCGGGTTCACGGGCACGGGCACCGGCTGCGCTGCGGCGCCGTCGACGCACACGGACACGAAGGAGCGGTCCGCCGGGTTGGGGTACGTGTTGTGGAAGTAGGCGTCCTGGCCCGCGTGGTACTCCTCGGTCAGCACCTCGCGCCCGTTGGTCCAGAAGAAGAGGCCGCCCGCCATGGCCAGCGACACCACGTTGCGGAACATGGCCTGCTGCGTGTTGCGCCGCAGGTCCGCCACCTCGCGACTGCGGAAAAGAAAACAGCATCATCAAGACGCTTTGCTGCGACCTTTGCCGTGATCCTTATTCTCTGTACGTACCCGTCCAGCGACACCGCCAGCACGGTGTTGTTGGCGTGGTGCGGCACGAGCAGGCGGAAGTTGGCGTGGTCCACGACGAAGGCGCCGAGGTGCGGGTCCTCGAGCAGCACGGAGGGCTTGGTCTCGTGCTTGATGCCGTTGCTCACTTCAGCCAGGTCGAGGCGGTACAGGCCGCCGCGCGGGCCGCCGAGCACCCAGAAGAGGAAGCCGTTGTAGGGGTCGACCTGCACGTGGAGGGGCCGCGACGGCAGCCCCGCGACGGCCACCGTCAGCCCGCGGCCGTCCAGCGAGGCGCGCGACACCTGCCAGGTGGGGGCCGCGTCCTGCCCCTCCTGCACCAGCTGGCCCACCATGTACACCAGGTCGTTGAGCCAGTCCACGCTGAGGGCCTGCGGCAGCACGCGGCTCTGCGTGGGCCGGAGGATGGCCACGGCGGCGTCCTCGCCGTCCAGGGACGCGCGCCACACCACGCCGCTCGAGTCGGACACGAACAGCAGCCGCCTGAAAGCACGATTTATGAAAATTTTAACGGAAGATGATATGAAACATGAACTGAGGAACGCTCCCTGGCCGAGGAAATGCATTTGGCTGAGTCTCAGGGCACCTACTTGGCCACGTGTAGGGCGAGGCCGGTGATGGTGTGCGTGCCCTGGGCGCGGTACACGACCACGGGCTCGTCCAGCAGGTCGGCGGACTGCCTGGTGACAGTGCGGCTGGCGGCGAGCACCAGGGCGGGCTGCTTCTTGTCGTCCAGGACGGCGGGCTCGGGCTGCGGCGGCGTACTCACCACGGCCGTAGCCGCCGGGCCCTCGCCCACCCCGTTGCGCATGGCCACGGACACGCTGTAGTTGCGGCCGGGCAGCAGGTTCTGGAACATGTAGAAGTCGGGGCTCTCCGACGCGGGGACATCCTGCGGCCCAAAGAGATTCCTTTAGTCCAAGGTCGATGCGATGGATGAATGCGTGACTGAATGACCAGTCTGATTGGCAGCCGCGTGGGAAAATACTCGAAATAACGGCCCGTTAATCATACTCATGCCACGCCGGGCTCACCTTGAGCGCCGAGTAGCCGGCGGGCAGCTCCGAGACGTGGAGCACGTAGGAGAGCAGCGGGCCGTTGGGGAAGCGGCCCGGCGTCCAGGACACGCTCACGCGGCCCCAGTCCACGGCCGTGGCCCTGGTGATGGTGGGCGGCGACGACGGCACCCCGCTGGCCAGCGTGCTGATGACCACGGACGGGGCGCTCACCACCAGCTCCCCGCCGCTGTGGCCGCCCGGCAGCAGCAACGCCACGCGGAACTGAAAGGGGAGGAAAATCAGACGTGGCTGGAGTGGCCCTGAACCCGACCTCCCCAGGGTAGCACCCTCCAAGGCGCACTCACCCTGTACTTGCTGTAGGGCTGCAGGTTGTCCACGTGCGCCGTGGCGTGCGGCCCCCAGGACTGGTTGCGGCAGTACTGCCAGGCGGCGGCCAGCTCCTCGTACCGCCACTGCACCAGGTAGCTGACGTTGGCGAAGCGCGAGCCGTCCACGGAGCCGTCCCACTCCAAGCTCAGCGAGTGTGACGTCAAGCTGTCCGCCACCAGCGCCGGCGCCGGGGGCACGCCGATCTCCTCTGCGAAGCAACGGAAGTAAATTTCTGACGTCCCGAGCTCTCTTTCCGGACAAAAGGACAAAAGCGACGACCCGTACCTTTAAGCCGCTGGAAGTACGTGTTGACGGCGTCGTTGCAGCCCATGACGCAGTACAGCTCTTTGGGCAGCAGCAGCTCTTGCGTTCCGTTCTGCCGAAACAAGAGCGAGGCCCGCGTTAGCGAATCACAGTAAGTGCAGGTCAGAGGGCCGCCAACACTCATTAAAGCACTGTACTTACGCAGACTGTCTGGCAGCTGGTTTGCAGCGCGTCCTGCCAGGAGCGGCAACCCAAGCCGCACTGTAACAACAAAAACAACACGAATATAAATAAGGTGACATCAGGACGCGTCACACCGTCGCAGCACCAGCCGGACAGTCAGTCCAGCCTCCATTAGATGACCGCCCGGCCGTCCGCCCCGCCGTCCGTCCAGCCTCCGTCGCGAGGACGGCGTCGCGGCGTCGCGGCGTCGCGCAGCGTTATGTTGGCAGGGCTGTCCGGGCATGCCGGCCAGGCACTTAGTCGCGTGCGCAGGGCCGCAGGGCCGCAGGGCTTGCCGGCAGGCAAGGCTCCTTTATTGGCTCGTTGAACGCGCGGCGCACACTGCCAAGCCGGCAGGAGCACGGCCCGCAGGCGGCACGGCGGCACGGCCCTAGGGCGGCCAACCCTACCACCTCCCCGCTGTTCGCAAGACCTTCTCGGGGGAAGTCCTTGTGGAGCACAGAGGCCGCCAGGGCCCACTGCCCCGCAATTCTCTCCACAGAACAGAGCGGGGCAGAACCCACGACTAAGAATCCTTCGTCGAGTCAAGGACCTGCCTCAAGCTCTCCGCACTTCTCCTCCTCCCAGACTGTTTTCTGGATTTGGGGCGGTCACTTTGCAGCTTGGACAATGCCACGGGTTACCGTTTGCAAAGAGCAAAATAACTCGCCTTCTCGGCTCGAAAATGGCATAGGTTCCTGCCCCCGCTGGATCGTCCTGGAATGCTGCGTCCTGCCTGGCCTTGCGTCCGCCGACGCCGCCGGCCTGCCGACCGTCTGGACAGCATCACGGCGATGCGTCCAGCGCCGCGCGCCGCCACGCCTCGGGACTCGCAGGCAACAAACTAAGAGTGAATGAATAGCGAGTCTGTGGGGCCGTCTGGAGTCCGTCATGCCGGCCGCCAGGGCCTAGCCAGCTCTAGCAGGCCGCCCTTGCCGACGCCGAGGCCCCGCCGCCGCAGACACCTTGGCCGTGGCGGTGACCGCGGAGGGCGTCATCGTCGTAGGCGTCGCGGCGGGGCGGCGTGGCGGAGCGTGGCGGCAGGAAACAGAGGGCCGCGACAGAGAGCCGCTGCTGGACACATCCGCTCGGGGATTTTGTCGGTTAGGGAGAGCGAGTGCGACCGGCGGTCTAATTGGAGCCCTCAGCCGAAGGATCGCTCCGTCGCTCCGTCTCTCTCGCACCCCACGGAGCTCCATGCGTGTGAGAGAGAGGCGAGCCAGCGCATCCCCTGCGACCCGCGACCCGCGGGGCGGAGTCATTGCCTCCGAGTGACGCGGCGGATCACGCCGTCACCGCGCCGGCCGGCCAGGAAGGCGGTTCGAATCCCCTCGGCACCCATTTTCAGCGGCCAGACGAGCGAAGCCACACCTCGTGGGTGCGGGGGATGCGATCGCCGGGGCGCTCGCACTGCACTGTGCACTGCACTGTGCACTGCGTCGCGCAGCCCCGCCACGCGCCTCGCGCGGCCAGCGCGCCAGCCTACATCCGTTAATTTACCACTTCCTAATTAGGGAAAAAAGTCGCCTGCACCCTGTCGTCGTGCCTGTCGCCCCTCTCCGCGGCGGTTCGCGGCAGCCCGCCTTTCGCGCCCCTTTCACCGCCTCCGCGTCCAGAACAAGCTCCCCGTCGTCCTGGTCCTCGGCAAGGGCGTGGTCGCTGCTGCGCTGCTCCGCGGGTCGGCGCCAATGGCGCGTCAAATAACATCCGTTTAGGCCGCGAACGCGCGCACCACGGTTCGTTGACGGCGGCCCGTGCTGTATGGCTTGGTGCACGTCCACCTCGACGTCATGGAGGCCACGTCCGTCCGGCGCGTCGCGGCTCGTGTCGCGGTCCCCGGAAGGGGAGGAAGGGACTGCGGATGAGGCGTACTTACTCCACTCATTTCTACGCCCCCCTCGGGTCCACGCGACGCGACGCGACGCACGGCGCACTATGGCTGCCGGGCCGGAAGTCCGAGTCCCCGATGCGACGCGCCGCAGGAACACGCCGGAACATTGCGACCGGAACCGGCGCCGCGGTGGCCGTGGGACTGCGGCCGTGCCGGGCCGGACCGGGGCGCGTTCCCCGACACCGTGTTGAAGCCGTAGCGCGCGACCACGAAACACCACGCGGAGCACAAACAGAAGTCAAAGCCCCTCGCCCCGCCACCCTGGTGGCGCCCCCACTGCAAGGCGAACTGACACTCAGCGCCGGACGCGATGGGCCTCGTAATCGTCAGCGTCGTGTACGCGACGGCAGCCACAGCAAACTCGGGAGGAGAATTAATGAATTAATTCACGTGTGACTTGGTTTAATCACTCAGTGGCTCGCTGCCGTGGAATCATTCGGCAGGCCCTTGCGTCGGCGGCCGCCCCCTGCACGGCCTGATGACGGCCGCGCCATAAAGGTCATCGCGGCCCCCTGCCCAGAGTGTGTGCCTGCAGTGCCTACAGTGCAGCAGTGCAGAGGGGGCAGTCACCTCGCCGCGGTGCGCGCCGGGCCTAGGCGGGCCGAGCCGCGCGGCCAGAGTCGCGGCTCCAGATTTACCGCGTGAAATATCGTCCGGCAAATGATGATAAGTTGGAGCCAATAAGGGCCTCAGGGGCGTTGGGCTGCCGTTAGGCTGACGTTGAGCCCTCTGTTTCAACTCCCCCTCCTTCCGTTTTGACCCCTGACGGCGTGCTCCGACCGGCTCCGACGGCGTGCTCTGACGGCGTGCTCTGACGGCGTGCTCTGACGGCCAGCCTCTGACGGCTTGCTCTGACGGCGTGCTCGACGGCGACCTCTTGATGTCCGTCCCGTGACGTCTGCCTGGCCGCGGCCCGCATTGCCGGACAATATCGAATTAAAAACCAGCCCGCGGCTCGTTATACTCCACTCATCGCTGCTTCGCCGTCGTTGTTCAGACGATCGTTACCTGCTCTATTCTGCATTCGCTGCCGCAGCCGGCCGCGTCCAGGAGGCCATCGTCTGTTTTGTTCTGCAACAGAAATGAAGAGGACACTTAATCGCTGTGGTGCAGAGCAGTGCGAGCAGCGAGAGCGGCGCACTGCACTCATGGCAACATGGCCGCGCCGTGCCATGCCGGCCACAATGCCGGCGCCGAAATAAAAATTAGGCTCCAGTTTCGTCGAGCGGCTGGAAGGCTGGAACGGAGCGGCTAGCTGGACAATAGAGGCGGGCCGGGGCTCGGCGGCCGATTTACACAGAACGTCGCGTCGTTAGGTCCGTTTAAAGTGGCGTAGTATTGGTTTTCAAGACGACGCGCCACGGCGGCCACGGCGAGGGCCCAGGGCCGAAGGGATGCACGAGTTCCCAGAAGGGCCGAGCCATGGGCCGAGCAAGGAAGGGCGTTCGGCCTGTTTGCCCAGGGCCCCGGAGCTTGGATCCACACAAGGACAAGGCAGAGTCATTAGCACCAACCTCAAAGGCAACATAACCTTGAATTTGGGGGCACAAATTTGCTTCAACTTCAAAATAACTTTCCAAGGAAAGTTTTTGAGATTAAACTCAAATTTAAGGCAACTTTTGACGTCTCTTGCCACGGTGGCCCGCCGCGTCTCCTACCCTGACCGGTGGACACGTTCATCCGATCGCTTAGGGCCCATTACGAACTTGTACGGACTCGCGCAGGAATCCAAAAATGGAACCAGATAGCCGCACGGATTTAGCTGCACCGGCCGCCACCCTGGGACAAAACGTACAAAAATGCAAAATAGGAGGTGGCCGACGAAGGGGTGGGGGTGGGGAGGGAAGGCATGCTTCGGTGAACGGCAACAGATGGGCGGCGGGGAAGTCACCTGGAAGCGAAGCGGACCTCGGAGCGGACGGTAACCGAGCGTGCGGGGCAAAATCACGGGGCTCGGGAAGGATTGTTTAGGATCAAGAAGTTGGTGCTTGCGCCGCTTTGCGAGGTCCACTGTTAAAATCAGGTCCATTTTGTACTAATTAGTTTTTAAGTACACGGAAGCTTGAAAATTAACTTAAGGCGTTTTCCCTTTCGGACACCTTTTGTGGTTGTGCGGTTCGAGGTTCGATCCCCGACCGCGGCGACACCCGAGCCGGATTTTCTGCCGTCGGCGGCGACGCGGCGACGTCCCACGGGAAAGCCTGGTCGCCGCCACCCGTTTTTCGTCGTCTAAGCGGCATCTTCCTGGCGATGCGGTGGCGACGTACGCCGCACGGCCACCGGCTCTGCCTCTCTCGCACCCATACCGGACGCCCCGTGAGTGCGAGAGGCAGCGCGGCGCGGACGGCGGGCCCTGCGGCCAGGGCATTAGCTCCGGACACGACAGAGCCCCGTCAAGTGCGCGGGGCGGCTCGCCCGGGGCTCCTCGCTGCGTTCCCATAGTGGCCACACCGCCGCCACCACGCCTGTCCCGGCAGTGGCCTGACCTACGCTGTTAGCTTTACCTTCTTTTCTGACATCCAGACCAAAGTTCTTTCTCGGCCGCCGTGCCTGCGGTGACTACAGCCCCTTCCCGACGCGGGGCCGAAACAACTCACTCACGGCCGTGGCGCCCGGGGCGACTTGCACGCACGGGGGGCGGAGGCACGGCAGGGCCGGCGCGCTTTCCAAAATGATGTTTGCTTTCCGAAAGCCCCAAATTAACAGAGTCATTCATTTGTTCACGCTCGACTGCAGCGGCGTGTCGACTAATGATCTCGGGAAATGGAAACGGATAGACAAGGAAGACGCGACCTCCTCCGCCGAGGTTGGGGCTCGGGGCGGACGCCTCGACGCATTCCGGGAGTGGCAGGTAAGGGGTGGCAATTAGCAACCCAGGCCGCCCTCGCCCGCCTTCACGCTCAGCTGCCCCCCCCCCCCCCCCTTTACACCTGTGTGGCTGTACCTGCAACCCTCGGCACACAAACAGAAGCATCACACAACCTTTTTTTCGAGAGGGCGTGGATCTGATCCCTTTGGAGTCTGACGGCTTCATCATCACCATCGGCGGCCTTGTCGGAAACGACCTGCATGCAAACAAAGTACTTGGGCCCGTGGCATCGTTCGAACACATTTTCGCGCCGCTTTGACTGACTCCGCTGCTAGAGGGGACAACAACTGCGCTTGCCGGGAACACGAACGGGACGACACGGGTCCTCGCGGGCACAGCACAGCACGGCATCGGGGCCATGGGCCCGCCATGGGCCGCCATGGGCCGCCATGGCAGCGCGACGCGCATGACTTGCCGCACTGTACTCGTCGGCCGGCCGCGCCGAGCACCCACCGGAAGTTGACCTGTTGTCGGGCCTGCCTGGGCCTGCCCTGGACCAACCCGCCCGGCCGCTCTCTGTCAATCTTTGCCTTCCAGCGGCGCGGCTCGCGGTCCGCCGGCCCGCCGCCCGCCCGCCCCACGGACGCAGATTGTGGCCCGAAATCCCAGTGACTCCTTCTCCCCCACGGACTGCTTGACCGGCCGGCCGGCCGACCGGGGCCTTTTCCGGCTGAGAGAACAGCCCGGCGGTAACGGCGGTATCGACGAGGGCGTCGAATTTCAGTGATGGCAGAGCCGGCCGCCGGCCCGGCCCGAAGGAGCGAGAGAGAGGGAGAGAGGGCGAGGGGACGGCGCGCTGCTTGTATGATGATGGTCCCATTCATGTAATGCAGCAAATTGTCTGCTTGCTGTTTATTATTTCTCGCGCCGTTAATGCACGGCGTGCCGCCGCCTTGGGCCAGGGCTGGCCAGGGCCTGGCCGCCGCGGATTTGCGTGTGTTGTCACGCCACACGCGTGTCCGCTGTCACGCGGTGACGGACGAGGGCCACGACGAGGGCCCCGACGACGCCTCTCTCCGCGACGCGCTGGACGCGGCGCGCTGTCCAATGCTGGACCGGCAGGACGATTGGGCGGCAGGATAATAGCCCCAATGGCAGACGACGTCACCGCCTCGCCTGGCTTCGACGCGCTGGAGGTCCCGCCGCGCCGCGCACTGAACTGCTCACTCACGCGCAGCGCCACCAGGACGCCGTCAACGTCGTCCTCACCTGGAAGGGACACCGGTCGGCACACAGCTGGAGACAGTCGCTCTGCAGCGCACTGAGGACAACGAGCAGGAGCAGAGCACTCAGGGCCTGCTGCAGCAGGACCGCTGTCGGCGCCATCGTGCTCGCAGGGCATCACGGAGGTCACTATCACTGCCACACTCGCGCACGCGAACACACGCGCACACACGCACGCACACACGCCCGCATCGACGGCGACCCCGTGCTGACTCGTCCGCGTCCGCCCACTGACTGAGGGCCTGCTTGCTGGCGGCTGGGGCTGGCCGGGGCGGGCGGCCGTGCGCCGAGCGGCCGGGGGCGGGGAGCGGCGGGGAGGGGCCGCGCCACACTCCGCCGCATCCTGTACGGCCTGTACGGCCTGTACGGCCTGACGGCCTGCAGGACCAGGACGCCATGCCGGCCATGCCCAAAGGACGACCGCCGCCGCACGCCACGAACGGCCAATGCGCGCAGCCGCGGCCTCGGCCAGGGCTCGGCGTCGACGTGCACGCCAGGACGATCTCGCGGCTCGCGCGCCGCGACTGTGGGCCTCCGCGTCGACGGTGACCCAGTTGCCCAGTTTGCCCAGTGTCGGCACTTTGATCGGCGAGGATCGGCGCGAATCCTGCGTCGCAGAGGCCGGGCCGCACTTGTCGGGTCCGCTTCAAAAGCACGCCGACTCGGGGACACCTATGCATGACGCTATGCCGGCGAGCACCGCGAGCACCGCGCACTGGACCGAGGATCCTCTCGCCCCTTTCCCACCGCGGTGCCTGCCTGCCTGTGTGAGGTACCTGCTACCCGCCCCGCCGCGCGCCCAGCGCCCAGCGCAGCAGAGCGAAGCGAGTGCCAGTTCAAATATGCACAGTAGTTAGGAACCCCGCACACACATTACCCCTTCCCCTCCCCTGCCCTGCCCCGGCGCGTCGCGCAGCCTCTCCATTTAAGCGACAACAAGTAAAGTGACTCCATCGCTGTCGCCCCGGTGCCTGTATGCCTGTACGGCTGCCCCGCCGGGCTGCCCCCATCTGCATGGCGGGCTGGCGGGCGGCGGCCAAGATTTCGAGTGGCCCAATCGGCAGCAGTGCCTGCAGTGTGCCTGCAGTGCCATCGGGCCAATCGGCCGATGAGCACTTGAACCGTTTACTGGCACTTCCCTCCCGCCAGGGTCCCTCACCCCACCCTGTAGGTAGAACAGTACACTGGAATATTTTGTGCCGAACGTCATTCATTCATTCATTCATTCATTCATTCATTCATTCATTCATTCATTCATTCATTCATTCATTCATTCATTCATTCATTCATTCATTCATTCATTCATTCATTCATTCATTCATTCATTCATTCATTTTCTTGTTGGTGGTCTCCCTGTTGTATTCGCGCGCTTATGGCCCATCTTGTCGGCCTGTTTTGGCGTACAGAATGCACCCCCCGCCTCGCCGCCACTTGACTTCTGTTCTGGCTTGCTTTACTTTCTAGCGCGGCGCCGCAAAATACCACGCTGTTTTGGGGGCATTAGGGGTCCGTAGGCCGTAGGGGTGCGGGGAGGGACCACCCCGGCCGGCGCGGCAGCGCGGCGCTTCTGTGTGTCGGATGCAGTCGGATGCGGTAGCGCAGCGCGAGACCCCCCGCCCCGCAGTGCTTCATCTCCCTCGCACTCCAGCGGGACGCCCCGTGAGTGTGAGAGAGAGCGCAGCCCCGCCCACGCCCACGCCCAGCCGCCAGGTTTCGCGAGGCCTGCCTGGCCTGCCCTGCCGCAACACAGTGCCTGTGTTTCCCCAAACATGCGATGTCTTCGCCACTGTTTCGTGTCGTTCGGCCTCGCTCTCGCTCGACGACTGGGGGGTCACCTTCAGCCCGCTACAGTTTGACGGGCCGGTCCGCGGGTTAATTTTTTTGGCGCGCAAATTATTTTGAAAGTGATTTGACATACCGGCGTGTGGCTGTCGGGCTCTCCGAACAGATTCGCCACTTTCATTCTCGGCTTCGGCCAGGCTTCGGCCACCGGAGCGTGGCGCGTGACGGCGACGGTTACACCGAAGGCTCCCCTCCCTTCCCTCCTCCGCGGCGGCGCGGCGTCTCCAAGTGGCCGGTGGCTCTTCCTCCGGGGGGACGCGGGGGACGCGACGCCGCGGCGGTTGAGTCGGGTCACGCTCGGTGCGCCGAGCTTGCCGCCTGCCGCACCCTCGGCGAGGACGGGGCGGGCTTCCGGGGTCAGCGAGGGCAGTAAGGCAGCGGTGCGCCCCGCCCCGCCCCACTGTAAAAAGGCTCCCCGGCCTGCTTATTTGGCGTCCGTCGTTCCGTCAGCACGTCGAGGCGATCATCGCCGGCTGTATTTACACCGGTGGGCCGCGCGGTTAGTGAGTTGGGAAGCGGGGCGCCCGGGGGCGCCGGTGATCGGGGCTCGGCGCGTGCTTCCAGTGTGCGCGCCGTGCGCCCAAACACGCGCGTGTCGTCGCGGTAATCCCCGAGCCGCGCCTTGATGAGGGATGGAACGCACGCCTGGCACGCCAGGGAGGCTGTGTTTTGGTTTGCTTTTCGTTTTATTCTTATTGCCTACAGGTAAGTGAAAAATCTCCCAGGTCTTCCCTCCTCGCGGTCTCTCAGTCTTGAGTCTTGGCGCTCCTCGCGCAGCGCGTCGTCGCGGTGGCTGCACGGGCTAGCCGCCCTTCCACATGCTGGCCAGCCACTCGCTGAGGTGCATGGGCTTGGCGGCGGCCGCGGGGCCCTTGCCGGGGTGCGGCATCCTGTTGTTGCTCATGGGCCTGACCAGCACCACCATGGGCTTGACGCGCACGGGCCGCGGCCGCATGCCGAGCGCACCCAGCGCACCCAGCGCCAACGGCGCCATGGGCACCACGGGCGTCATGGGCGCCACCTTGATGGTGATGGGGCCCTTCATGGGGCCCTTCAGGACGTGGCCCTTGATCTGCATGGGCAGCTTGAGCTGCTTGAGCTGCTTCATCGTGGCGGCGTGGTAGCTGCCGTCGCCGAACATGAGTGGCTTGTCGGCGTGCTTCATCCCTGCGGGCACCGAGAAGGCACAGGGGTTACAAACTAAGTTGGAGAGAGACAGAGCGCGGATGCACCGCGAGCTACTCACCGCGGAGGTGATCTTCCTGCACTTCCTGGTCCTCGTCGCGCTGCTCGGCCGAGGCCTCGAAGCCCCTCGGGGGGTCCAGGGCCGACGCCACCCCCACGCGCTTGTTCGTCTGCAGGAACACGTCGGTGATGCCGGCGGCCGGCGCCTCCCCGTGCTGCTGGCGCCAGGGCTCCAGGGGCGGCGGCGCGGGGGTGCGGGGCTGCTGGCGGGGCTTGGGGCGGGGCGGCCCGGGGGACAGACGCACGCCCGGCGGCTCCAGCGGGTTGCCGGCGCAGTCGCGGGTGATGAGCGTGGCGTGCGCGCGGCGCCGCTGCCGCCGCAGCCGCTTCAGGATGCAGTCCGGGTGGACGCCAGTGGCGCTGCGGGAACGGCGGAAACGGAACTGGGGTGAGACCGACGCACCGACGCACCGCCGACGCCTACCTCAGGATGGAAGGATTTCCTCCGAAAACCACGGCTAAAACGAACGTAAAACGTAAAGCAAAGCAGGAAATTGATTCCGGCACCTGAACGTACCTCTTCCTGTGCGGGTGGGGCGGTCCTGGAGGTCCTGACGGCCCCGACGGCCCCGACAGGGGGGCTGCCTGCTCCGCCTGCTCCGCCCCGAAGTGCCCCAGGTCCCAGACGCGCAGCCCGGACGAGCCCTCGCCGTACCAGCGCACCTGCAACCGCACCTCAGTCAACGTCAGGGCGGACAATCAGCCCCAACAGCGATCTCTGTCTCTCTCGCTCCAATGCGGGACGCTGCTGAGTGCGAGAGAGACGAAAACGCTGTTTGGAATCAGCCTGCCGGCCGCAGAGAGACACGCCCCTGCTACCGGTCAATGGAGGCGTTCCAAAGCCTGAATAACACATCTCCGGGGAAGGACCAGAACACACCGTGCAACTCGCTTTTGAACCCTCCTCTCTGGCGTCCATCGCGGTGCCTCGGTCTTGTGGAGCGTAAACGACTAAGAACCTCGTACACCGCGATAAAAGTACTTCTTATCGTTTCTGCATTTTATTCAACTGGCAGAAGCCAGTACGCGACGCGTTGGTGGGCCTCTGATGGGTCCCCCCTCCCCTCCCCTCCCAGAGGCCCCCGACGGGGGTCCTGGATGGCCGGGAGGGCCGGGAGGGGGCCGATGGGGTCGGTAACGAGGAGCATCCACCCGTATGTATGATCGCATATTCCAGCCCGCGAGGAAAAAATACGTGCACTCTGCCGTTGTTTTTTTTTCAACGACGCTGTGAATTGGGAGCCCAGCCGACCAGCCCGACGCACGACCGGCACCGCGACATGCAAGCGGCACGCGAGGGGACTTGGTGCCCGCGGACCGGCCGCCGACGACGCGACGATCGTAAACTGCAGAAACAATGGCAAATTTTCAATATGATATAATTTTGCTCTTAAGTCTTTTAAGAAAATGTTATTTCAATTTTGAGTTTCCTTCCGAGGATCCCTTGACGCGGCTGCTTCCGCCGGGATCCCCAAAAAACCGTGTGTTTACTGTATGAACAGCGCCACGAAGACACTGCACTGACCATCTGGGCGCGCGTTCCGCAGAAATTGGGAAACGGAAATCCTGCCGCGTCGCGCGGCAATGAATGAGCCATTCAGGCAAATGGTGTTGGCAGCCGCCTTTCCATACTCCATGCGCTTCCGCCACAAGCAACGCGGCCTTCTGGAAACGATCGCGGATCGCACGCGTCGCCCCGGCCAGACAGACGCTCCAGACGCAGTGCCGCGCCGCGCGTGCCCGCTGGTGGTCCATCCTCAGACTCCCATGCTCGTCTCGTCGTAAAGCATCACACTCGTCGTCAAGGTCCGGCGCGCCAAGTGGAACCAGATTTGTGTCGCGTTTAAACACTTCCCAGGAACACGCAGCGCCGTCAATCCTTTAACGTTGCGGCTGCACTGCACGCATGAATTTGGTGGTGTACCACCCTTTGGTGCTTTGGCCTCACAACGTCTTGCGGTTGCACTTGGCGCGTCACATTCAAAGCCGATCTCGCCGTTCAAACCTTTGCCGCGCTTTGGGCCTGTCGGTATTTTGGCCACTGCCTGAACCGCTTCATTGCACCGACACTGGTATGATTGTTTTGCCCCCCCCCCCCCCCGTTTCCGCCCGCATGGCCGCGCCGCCCCACTGTATCATTTCCCATATTGGTGATGTTTCTTGCACCCACACACAACGACGGGGGCACTTGATCGGAGTAAACAATTAATACCATTCATGACACCCGATGAAACTGTTTAATGTTAGTAAGGAAATTTTGATCGGAGGGCAGACAGAGGTTCGTCTCAGAGGTCGCTGGCCCTGTTGTTGTTGTTGTTTGTCCCGTGTCGCTAAAACAGAAGCCCCTTCACGCTTTTTCGCCCCGCCCAGTGATGTCACTGGCGGAGAGATAGTCACGCTGCCCGAGATCCCCCACCCCATCCACCCACAGCGAAGTGCAGGCGTTGTTTCACCTACGCTTGCACCGCAGTTAAAATGAAAAATATCTAGTACCGTCAACAACAATAAATATCCAAACGCTGTTCGAAAATTCGCGGACGAGTCTGCCGCAGGCGTTGGCTAATTTCTGCGAGACGAGGGTGGTTAGGTGGACCGGCTCCACTCACAATTCCCGGAGTCCTGGGCGACCTGGACACAGGAAACATCCTGGCGTTCCAACTCACGTGCCCCTTGTTGGCCGGGCCGTCCTGGCGCTCGTGCCTGGCGATCCAGTGCCCCGGGTTGCCCCGCATGTGTCCCGTCTCGAAGTCGCCGGCCTTGGTGATGTTCTGGAAGTGGTAGTACATGCTCGGAGGGCTCTCCGCCGCGGCCAGCACCACCGCGGCCAACAGCGCCTGGAAAAGGATAACAAGAAGGAGAGTGACGAGGGCTTCGGAATCGAACGGGTTGTCCCTCGGTTCTAGTGTTACCAGCCCGCTGTGCTGCTTCGTCTTCATCCTGCTCCGCGTCGTCCCTGGTTCGGACTGAAGCGCCGCGCGGCGCAGGGAAGGCCCAAGGCGCCAGCAGGCTGATGCCGAACTGTGCTTGGTCGCTCTGTCTCTCTCGCACCCCTAGGGAAGGCCCCTCCAGTGGGAGCGAGACAGTGACGAAAGCAGTGCTGGGATGGCACGCGTGATGCACCTGGCGTGACGCGGTGACGTCACACCACAACGAGCACCGCGACGGGCACCCCACCCTTCTTACGCCCGCGCCGAAATCCGGTAACGTTTTACACGCGTTACGACGAGGCACGCGCACGGCCTACGCGCGCACGCACGTGCTGGTGCCTGACTTGGCTTGGAACAGAAAGCTTCCAGCTAGGTCGCATTGAGTGCACTTCCAGAAGCTTCCATGAGTTGGGCGCCAAATACGCTTCGTCCGTCAGCCCTGCTCGAAGGGTTGCCTGCCAACCAGGCGTTCTCTGCCACCATCCGCATTGCATTCCGTCTTGTTACCAGCTGGATTGACTCCCATGGACTGAAAATGTCCTTCCCTGTCGAGATGAGCAGTGCGTTCGGCTTGCGGAAATGCAGCACGCAGCACAGCTAGGAGTCCCGGGAACCTGGACTGAGGTCATCCTAGGGAACCGGTTCTGCACTGTCCCAACCAGTCGCTCCGGAATCCTGTTGGTTTGTTGACCCATGAGAGCAGGGCGAATTCTGAGAGTAACGGTAGTAGTGGCTGGCAGAGGTGCCATACCCGTTTTGTTGTGAAACAGTCCAAAACGGAAATAGCATCGTCGTCATGAGCCCGAGTATCCGTCACCGACGATTCAGAACAACCACTGCAGCGGGATGGGGTGCAACCGGCAGCTAACTGAATGAATTTTCTTCAACGTGAAAAACTATTTCCTGTCAAGAAAAGGGAAAGGTTCAGAAAAGCAGCACAACGAACGAAAGCGCGCGTCTGCTCTGCGGAAGCCCCGGGACGGGAGGCTCTACGACGACGCTGGACGACGGGCGTCAGCGAAATTTGCATACTACTCAGTCGGCTGACTTCACAAATTCCTTTCTCGTCCAGATCAATCTTATTTTTCTTTCCAAAATAAGAGCCCCAGTGACACCAGGAGAAAAGGTTCTAGTCTCGTGACCAGTTAGCGCATCGGCGTTATCTTTCGGTGTGCGCCCCCCTCTCCCATTTTACCCCCACCCACACCCACGAGGCGGGCTCCAAGTCCTTTTCCATGCCGGCATGCACCCTTCTTTGTCTATCTTACGACCGAGAGGCAGATCCTAGTTCCGAGTAGTTTTCGAACGGACAGCGCACAACGCACCTCCAGGAATGAAAAGTAGTAATTTATCCCCGTCCCCCTCCCCAACTTGCCAAGACAGCACCCCCCCCTCTCTTCCCGAGAGCCTCTCTAGGCTCTCTACCTCTCTCCTCCCCCCTCCTCCCGCTGCGCTCGCGCTCTCGCGCCGGCCCGCGCCGCGCTTACGCAGTCAAACAACATCGTCGTCGAAAAGGCCCTGCCAGCCCTGCCCACTGTCGACCGTCGACCGCCCAGCCCAGTCGTGTGTGCGAACCGGTGAAGATCGGACGTTTCTCTGCTACTTGAGGTGAGTGTACCGATGCGTTTGGAAAGACTAGTTTGGCATGTAGTCATCCACCTGTGATTTGACGAAGTCACAGCGGTGCTTTGTGTCAAGGCAGTTCCCCATTCTTTTAGGTTTAGGTCTTGTTGGGAAGTCCACCATGTCATCGGTCTTGATCACTGGATCCAGTCGAGGATTGGGCTTGGAGTTCGTCAAGCAGCTTCTGGCTCATCCCAAAGCTCCGTCTGTGCTGATTGCCGCGTGTAGGAAGCCAGATAATGCTTCAGTAAGTCTATTCAACTGTGATGAGCGATTTGTCAAATTACATTGCATTTAGTTCGATATTTAATTTTCCAGGAACTCCAGTCGCTCGCAAAAGCCCATTCGAATCTTCATGTTGTGCAATTTGGTAAGACATGCTTTTTTGTGACCTTGGAAATCTTTACGGAGCCTATGAATTTACTTTGTGTGTTTTGCAGACGTAAATGACTTTGACAGCTATGACGCTTTTACCCAGAAGGTGGCTAGCATTGTTGGAGAGAAAGGACTTAATGTGTTGATTAACAATGCTGGTATCATGAAAGGAAAAAAGGACTCCCTGTCAGATTTCAATGCCAAAGATATGATGGACACCTTAACTACTAATTACATTGCTCCAGTACTGTTGATCAAGGTAATATTAGTATTCCTTAGCCCTGAGATTTATGTTACAAAAACCTGTCTAATCTGCCGTTTGTATTGTTAGGCAATGCGGCCTCTCTTGAAGCTTGCTGCGGATTCGAATAAAAACTTGCCTATTGGATGGTCTCGAGCTGCTGCGATAAACATTACATCATATTTGGGATCACTGGCTGAAAACACTTTTGGCACATTTTTGGAATACCGAGAAAGCAAGGTAAGAAATGGAAATCTAAATCCTTGCTGTGACATAATTTTAATTTTGTTTCCATTAAACCTTATTTATTAATAATACTTTTCACAAATTTTACAGGCTGCTCTGAATATGGCAGCTCGCTCAATAGCTGTGGAACTAGCTCCTGATAACATCTTCGTGCTGAGCATGCACCCAGGCTGGGTTCAGACGGACATGGGTACAAGTGAGGCACCGCTGACAAAGGAGGACAGTATCAGTGGTATGCTGAAGGTCTTTTACTCCCTGAAACCAGAACAACATGGGACTTTTGTCCAATGGGATGGCAAGGTGCTGCCATGGTAATTTTGTTTTCGATTGTGAGATACTGTTAATTTTGTCTTCGAAGTGTTGATATTTTATCATGAATTTGATTTCAATTTCTCATTGTCAATTTGTCAATAAAGAATTTTAAACCAACTTGAGATGTAATACTCTTTTCCTAAATACTCATGAAGTGGGGAGATGCGGTCTGTTGGACACAGAGCACAGAGGTCAGAGCTAGTTGGAGCTACTCCAACTTATTGGGTGACTTTAACGGGCCATTTATTTTAAACTTTTCAAATCAGAAACAATACAGTAGACCAATTGTCAATTTTCGTTTACAAAGAGAAAGTTGGAAATTCGCATTTTGATAAAGCTAAAAAAAAGTGAAATAAAAAAAATTAATCCTAAAAACGTAAGCATTGGTTCAATATCATGGTGCGCTCATGGGATTCTTGTTGAATCAACTCAACTTTCTCATTCAATTATTTCTTCTCCAAGGAAATTTCGAAAAAAGGTCTCTCTCGGAGAAACGGGTAGCCTGGAGTTTGGAACCATTTCCGGTCACGCGGTCATGTGATGATGCGCAGTGCTGATGTTTTGTTTTGTTGATTCAGTTTGGCAAGAAAGAACGGAACAGCTAGGTTCAGCGCAACATGGTAAGCAAGATACGCCTCTTTTTTACCCACGCGAACAGCGATTGTTGAATCGGAGTCAGGTGCACATTAGATTGTTCCATCATGTTTGCGTGTCATATAAAGAGACTTGTTTTCTTACGATATGTGGCCCGTCTAGCCTCACGCTGCCAGGCGATAGCACTTTGCCCTAACCTTAACCTTACCTATGTGCTGTCAGTGTTTACTTTGTTTAATATTTCTGGGACTCTACTCCTTCCTCTCGCAACTTTCAAGTGCGAGTAAGTGCCTTCATAGTCTTTCAAATGCCTCTTAGTAAAGCTCGTTTTCACTTTTGTTTTCAGTCTTACGAACAGGATGATGAAGACCAATACGCCCCCAACTTCAGTGTTGGATCTTTTCCCAAAGAATTTGGCTATGGGCCTTTCGATGGTGACGGTGACGGGCCTACGGGACCTCTCACAGGGGAACAGAAGCCACGTATTCTCCTTATGGGGCTTCGCAGGTTAGCTGAGTTTTTTACTATTTCTCTCCACCATCTTCGCCAAACTCTGTGATCAAGTTTCTGCGGTCGTAAACTTATAGACTTTTTGACTTTCAGGAGTGGAAAATCATCTATTCAGAAAGTAGTATTTCATAAGATGTCTCCCAATGAAACATTATTTTTGGAAAGCACTAATAAAATAATCAAGGATGATATTTCAAATTCGTCCTTTGTCCAATTTCAAATATGGGATTTCCCAGGACAGATTGATTTCTTTGACCCTACCTTTGATTCTGACATGATTTTTGGAGGCTGCGGTGCTCTTGTTTTTGTGATTGACGCTCAAGTAAGTACTAATAGAGTATTTTACTTTGATTTCTAGATGTTTCTTTTGTATTTTCTTTTTATTGATGCCAATTGAATTTTTTAAAATTTAGGATGAGTACAATGATGCTCTTAACCGACTTCATCAAACTGTAACCAAAGCTCACAAAGTGAATCCTAACATTCGATTTGAAGTGTTCATTCACAAAGTGGATGGTTTGTCTGATGATTATAAGATGGAAACTCAGAGGGATATTCATCAAAGAGCCAATGATGACTTAGCTGATTCTGGTAAGCTGCAACCAAACTTATTGAACTTTTGAAAATTTTTACAATTTACATTAATGCAACTTCTGTATAGGAATGGACCAAATTCATCTTAGCTTCCATTTGACATCTATATATGATCATAGTATTTTTGAAGCATTCAGCAAAGTTGTCCAAAAGCTTATACCCCAGCTTCCAACTCTTGAAAATCTTCTCAACATTTTGATTTCGGTAAATACTCAATGAGGTCCTCAGTTAATGTATATGTTTATTGTGATATCAAATTTTTTAATGCTGTGTAAATTATTTCTAATTTTTAATTTTTTTTTTGCAGAACTCAGCTATTGAGAAGGCATTTTTATTTGATGTTGTATCCAAAATCTATATTGCCACTGATGTCTCACCTGTTGATATGCAAAGCTATGAGCTTTGTTGTGACATGATTGATGTGGTCATTGATGTGTCATGTATTTATGGGTAAGATTCAGCCGCTGACCTTCACCTTCATTTTCACCAGCCTTTAAACCTCGACATTTTTTTTACATTTATTTGGCCTTTCAGATTACATGAGGATGCTGAAGCTGCTGCATTTGATTCACAAAGCTCAAGTTTAATTAAGCTGAATAATGGTACAATTCTGTATCTGAGGGAGGTGAACAAATTTTTAGCATTAGTTTGCATATTACGAGAAGCAAATTTTGATCGCCAAGGTGAGAAACATTCATATATTCATTGCTTAATAAGATAAAAAAAAAAAAAAAATAAAACACTCTTTTGATTTATAGGGATTTTGTTATCCATTGTTTCTTATTTTGTGTTTCACAGGTGTCATTGACTACAACTTCCTGTGCTTTAGAGAAGCTATTCAACAAGTATTTGAACTTCGTAGCAAGAACCAAATGTTGTACAACACAAGTTCTCAGGGAAATTCCTCAACAGTGGGTGAATCTGGGCCCAACACTTCAACAGGCACAAGTGGCACCAGCAATGGCATATCATCAAATGCAGCACCATTGGACAATTCTCCAAATAATGCTAGTGAATCTTTGAAACAATCTCCTGCTGTTCTTTATCCAGTCTCCGTTACAGATCCAACTATTGTTACTTGAATCATGTATTAACATGATAAATTTTTGTTAATGCAATTTTTTTGCACTGCCAATGTAGTGTAAAAGCTCTCTCACTTAATTTTCATTTCTTTTTAAAAAGTTTACTTTAATGCAGTTATACTTTGAACCTTTAGTATTGTTTTGTCTTATGGGTGTATCTAAGGTGACGATGCTATATATCTAGTCGTCTCAACCATGATTTTATAAAGCAGTATGTTTTCCTGCCAGTCATAGTTTAAGAAAGGGACTGATTGAAAAAAAATTAAACATGCTTGAAACCTGTCATTCTTGCATAAGCTTTACATGTGTAGAGAACATTCTTACTTCATAGTTATGTGATGTGTTAGATTTTGATGATCATTGGAATGTGTTCATGTTCACTTGTAATGTACAAATTGCCAATTGCCATTTTATGTGAAAAGGGAACTGCATGGATGAATCTCCTTCAAGCGTCGTTTTTAATGTTTGTTGGTTTGGCTGACTTGTGTTTCATTCTGAAGCCAAATGCTTTCATCCACTCTTCTCATGTCCTCTTGAATTTTGTCTGTGTGAGAAACACACTGAATGTTGGTTGGAGGTGTGAAAGTTTATTTTTATACTTAGCATCTATGTCTGTTACTGTTATTCTATACTCATATTACTGTATGTGTAAAATTTCACATCCTGTGCCGTTTGATGAGAAAAGTCAACCTTTATCTTATGATCAAATACTATTTTTTTCTTCTTATTTGAAGCTATATATTTGGAAAACAACTCACTCATATGATTTTCAAATGTATCCTTATCTTTCATTTTTAAACTTTAATAATGTGATCAATGGCAAGCCAGTACTTGGATCACTGGGCCCAATTTGAAGTCATCAGAAGAATTGTCCCTTTGTTTTTATGTTAGACTCAATTGTTTTCAGTGCAGTTGGGTGGGTGCACTTGAATTATTGATCATTAATGTGTAACATAGCCTACAGTTACATTCAGTTTGTGAGCTGGACTTGCAATGCTGATTTTTAGTTATGTGGCTTTCTTTGTTTGCTCAGTATCGGTAGTTCAAAAAAATTTGATGTATTGTTAAAATTAAACTACTAGATATCATTTTTGCATATGTTTGTCCTGGAAGAAAGGGCACTTAGGAAAAGATATGGAAGTTAAAATATCTATCTATCTATCTAATCGCATTTGGCTGCACATCTTTGCCGGGGAGTTCTCATCAAATTGTCTTTGAAAATAACCTTTCGGATGGTGCTAAACAACAATGTTTATAGTAGCCTCTGTTTCCTATTAGACTGAATTAATTTTGCCTTGTTCCCTTGTTTTGTTTGTTTTTGTACCCTCTATTCTTAAATGAGTTCACATGTACACAAAGTGCCATATTTTTTTCTGGGCTTCAGTAATTTTGTTGGAAGAATACATTCTCTGTTTTTCCACCCAGATTACTCTTATTCTTATAACATAATGTTCCTGAAAAATACTTTTTATTATTCAGATTTCATTTTTTCCCCATAAAAGGTTTTTATTTTATTATTCTCCTGTCATTCTACTTGTGTACTTTCATCTTCTTCCATTTAAACTTATGCTCTTAACAGGGTATTTTGAAAGGTAGTGCCTTTTAAAACCAATTTGCAGCCCCTATCATTCTGTAGTTGTAATGTTCGACTGATGGAACAATTTTATTCTTTTTTATTAAAAAAGTGTTGAAAAATTAAAGTGTAAAATTGCTTGCTAACTTTCTTTGGCTCCTCTCCTCGTTATATGTACGGTAGAGTTGAGGAGCCATGTAAACGCAGAAAGTCGTGAGAACTCTGGATGTCCGACAAACCGAGGTTTCAGATTTTGAATGTCTGTATTTTGGCCTGCCTTATAATTGTGTTACTTGCGTCTGTAAATAAAAGTGTCTATCTTTGTTAAACATTTTATTGATTTGGCGGGCACAGGGGAGGAATGCCTCAGCCCACTGTCCGCGTCCGGGTTCCACTAAGCACCTGCCGCGAGCTTTCCAATCAGCGCTCGCAAATGAGCTCTCAGAATATCCTTTGCTGCTTCCCCTGAGACTTTGCGCTATGCTGCGTTCCATCAAAAGTCCACAACAAAACGCTATCAACTGACAATATCAAAATATTATCGCTGTTACCCCAAAATTAGTGCTGTTCGCACTACCTCATTCCGAGACTACGAAAACAACATGAAAGCGACGTGCGTCCCTGCTAGATTTGGCTCTACCATCCAGAGCTGCTCTCACCTCGGTTGAAAAGCCCCGCCCCGCCAACGCCGGCGAAGGAAGTAGCATCAATGTTGCCACATGAGGCAGAGGCAACTTCCCCCATACAAATTTCTTTCATTAATCCTGTGACGCACGGTGACTACTGAACTACATATCAAAGTGCTTCCCAATTCTTTGTTATTTTGTTGGGGTGCATCTCTGATTTCCAAGCTCTCGTGTTTCTGTTAACTAAAAAGGGGAGGGAGGGAAATCCCCGAGCAAACCCAATGCTGCCACCTGCCACAGTCTGTAGTTTACTTTTCATAACATCACAAACTTTACCGGAGTTGGAGTTTACGTCTTCGGGAAGAAAGTAAGACAATTCATGTAAAAGTCAATCGTGAATGGAATTTTAAAATTATTTTTGTCTTTGTGGCAAGTGGATTCATCTTATGTTGTTCTTCTAACTGTTGCACCTCATAACCTTCTCATTGCTTACGTCTCCCTATATATTTAATTCAAACATTTTATTACGATATTCTATCCTGACGAAAATAAATTCTATCCCTGTACATCGAACTTTAAAATTATAGACGCATGTCAGAAACCCGCATGTCATTATGCCGTTGCTTGACCCTAAAGGGAGAGCCTATTAGTGGCATTTGTTGTAGAGTCGATTTCTTCTGCTGATGCTGATGGTGCAATGTTGTGAAATTACTCAATCTTCAACTAATTTTTTTAAAAGAAATAATTTTTTTCCAGGAATGGCGGGGGCTGTGCTGCTACCGCGCATGACGCGGTCCCTGCGAGCCTTCACACAGCTGGAACCTCCTCGGGACCTCACTCCGGGCCCAGATGATTTTGAATGGCAGACTCAGTGGAATAAAGAACAACTGAACAAGTAACTCGGATTTATTGGGATGTGCCCTATTTTCATGGCATTTTTATTGAGGCTCATCACTGTTTTTGTTCCTCTCTTATAAACAGGGGCGTGTCTTGGTCAGACATACAAACAATTATTGTAAATGACACCTCAACCAATTCAGAGGTCCAAAAATGTGTCCAGAAACTTCGTTCCCTATGTGGGAAGTTTATGGGTATGCCATCTTGTTGGTTCTTTTTGCCAATTTTATTTTGCCGTTTGTTAATTATCATTTATTGGTGATTCTCTGTGGTTCCTCTTTAGCAGACCAAAGCAAATCTGTGATAGACGATACTTGTCAATTTGTCCTGCTCCTATTCCTTACGGATAATAGAGTTGTTAGCCAGAAACAGTTACACAGTCTTAGAGGCATGTTTGGTAATATGTCTAACAATGCAGCTGACTCCTTACGAAAGGTAATGTTAGTAAATGTGTGAGGTACGTACTGAATCAAAAACATAGGATCGTCCTTGATGTAGTGTATTCTGTTGTTTCTAGACTGTTCAAGAGATACTTGATGAACTTTCATATGGAGCAATTGAGAAGCTCCACAGTCTACTCTCAACGCAGGAGTCACCTCAGGCTGATTTATTTTCAGCAACCATTAGCTGCGCATTTAGCTCACACATAAAATATGTCCCTCAAAAACCTTGGGAACCAGATACAAGTGCACTAGCAGATTTAACTGATGACGTTGCCACTGGTGGTGAATCTGTAGCAGCAAAAGAATTTACCATGAGATACGATGTTTCAACTGCTGCTCCGGGAGCATCATCTAACCGAGGCATGAAGAAAGGCCTGGTAAACATTTTAACTAACATTTTAACTATGATGCTTATTATAATTTTTACTTATACATAAGAGCTGCTTGCTAACAGTATTAAATATTTTTCAGTATGGAATGTCTTGGATGGAAAGTGAAGTTAGAAAATATTATGCTGACTCAAATCCCTGTGGTTTGTCCTGTAAAGAATTTTGTGAGTCAGTCATCACACTATTGAAGTCAGAGAGAGGAAACGATGCATTGCAAAATGAGGTATGTCCAATTTACATGTGCTTTAAATTGTCTGTTTGTAAATAATTTACATATTTAATCCTTTGTCATGTTTCAGCTCTTTGATCTCATGGGCTTTGATCGATTCGAGCTCATCCAGACATTTTTAGAACACCGCAAGGACATTGTTCAAGGTGTGAACCTTGAAATAGAAAAGAAAAATCTTTCCACTAAAGCAGGTAATATTTATGTTAATTCCTTAAACTTTTTTTTTTTTGTCGTTTTACTGAAACGCAGTTGTCTAAATACCAATGTTACTTCTAAGGTAATATATCTGCTGCCATTGAAAATGCTCGAGCACCCTCATTTGGTTGCCAAGTGGTAGTCCAATCTCAGATGGAAAAGCAACTTCAGAAAATGGCCCGGAAAGAAGAGAAACGAATTCACAAAGTCCTAGGCAAACTAGACTTAGATGAAGAAGAGGAGGCTGAGTTCAATCCGATTGAATTGCGAGCCAAACGGTATGGTATCTAATTTCTTATGACCTAAGGTACTATGTTATTTAGTTCAATCTCTCATGCAACGCACATTTTCACAGACAAGCTGCTCTAAAAGCTGCTGCTGCAATGCCAGTTTTGAACAAGGAACCAATGCGACAGGCTCTCCAGCCTCGTCCTAACTACCCCAATGTATATGACTCTCAAAGTAATGCACAGCAAGCCTCTGGTAATATTTTTCTCTTGTTCAAAAGTTTTATTTTTGTTTTGTTTTTTTGCTACTTTAAGTTTTTGTTTTTACTAATAAATTGTGTTTTTCATGAAGGTTTCATATCTGGGACAAAAATGATGCTCCCTGAAGGAGTAATACGCCATGATAAGAAGTCTTATGAAGAAGTTAACATTCCAGTAGCTGAGCCAGCACCTGTTAATGTCGGCAATGAGAGGGTAGCAATTTCCACACTTGATGAGATTGGTCAAATGGCATTTCAAGGTGTCAAGACCCTGAACCGAATTCAGTCTGTTGTTTTTAACATGGCATACCACAGTAATGAGAATTTGCTCATTTGTGCTCCAACTGGTGCTGGCAAGACCAACGTTGCCATGCTTACTGTAGTGCATCAAATACGTCAGCACATTGAACAGGGGGTCATTATGAATGATCAATTTAAGGTTTGTAATCTTCTGTTGTTCTCTTTATTTTGTGGCGACTGCTTAGTTGACATCAGTCTTGAATCTTTAGATTGTGTATGTTGCACCTATGAAAGCTTTAGCAGCTGAAATGACTGCCAATTTTGGAAAGCGCTTAAGTCCACTAGGTGTGTCAGTTCGAGAGCTGACAGGTGATATGCAACTCACAAAGTCTGAAATAATGAAAACCCAGATGTTAGTAACAACCCCTGAAAAGTGGGATGTTGTGACTCGAAAGGGAACTGGTAAGATATTGTTAATGTGTGTCTTTTTCCTTATGAAGAATGTCTTGAAAAGAAACTTACTTGCCTCATTGTTTATCTACAGGTGATGTAGCACTAACTAATTTGGTGAAGCTCTTGATCATTGATGAAGTTCACTTACTGCATGGAGATCGTGGTCCTGTTGTTGAAGCACTTGTTGCCAGAACTTTACGCCAAGTGGAGAGCTCCCAAAAGATGATAAGAATTGTGGGTTTGTCTGCAACTCTTCCAAACTACATAGACGTTGCACGCTTTCTAAGAGTAAACCCTTATGCTGGATTGTTCTTCTTTGACTCTCGTTTCCGCCCGGTGCCGCTAAGCCAAACTTTTATTGGAGTGAAAGCGGTAAAACCACTTGTTCAGATGCAAGAAATGGACAATGTCTGCTATGAAAAGGTTGTTGATCTGGTGCAAAAGGGACATCAAGTTATGGTTTTTGTCCATGCTCGCAATGCAACTGTACGCACAGCCAATGTTTTGAAAGAAATGGCATCCCAAAAGGGACAATTAAAGCTCTTCCAAGTAGAAGAGTGTAGTGCACTTGGACAAGCAAGAAATGCTTTGAGCCGATCTCGCAATAAACACCTTGGAGAATTGTTCCAATGTGGATTTTCTGTCCATCATGCGGGAATGCTACGATCTGACCGCTCAATTGTTGAGAAGTATTTTGGTGAAGGCCTCATTAAAGTGTTGTGTTGTACTTCAACATTGGCTTGGGGTGTGAACTTACCTGCACATGGAGTTGTAATCCGTGGCACTGAAATTTATGATGCCAAGCATGGTTCATTTGTTGATTTGGGAATCTTAGATGTTCTTCAGATATTTGGTCGTGCTGGACGTCCACAATTTGACAAATCTGGAACTGGAATTATCATAACTTCACATGACAAGCTTAGTCACTATTTATCCCTGTTAACCAATCAGTTTCCTATTGAGAGTAACTTCATTAAATTTCTTGCTGACAATCTTAATGCAGAAGTCACTCTTGGAACCATCAGCAATATAGATGAAGCTGTTGAGTGGTTGAGCTACACCTATCTTTTTGTCAGAATGAGAATTAATCCTCAAGTGTATGGTTTGAACTATCAAGATGTCATTAATGACCCTTCCCTTGAAGAAAAAAGAAGGGATTTAATCAAAACAGCAGCAAAAGCTCTTGACAAGGCAAGAATGTTGAGCTACAATGAGAGGACTGGAGATCTCCGCGTGACAGGTAATGTGTCGTGTATTTAGTTGTCTGTGTTGTTTGAGTTAGTAGTGACAGTCTAATGATGTCGTCGTCTCAACAGATATGGGGCGTACAGCTAGCCACTTTTATGTCAAGTATGACACTGTGGAGGTATTTAATGAAATGATGAAACCAGTAATGAACGAGGCAGAAATTCTTGCAATGATTTCTCACTCTCAGGAGTTTGAACAGCTCAAGGTGAGGATGTTTTCCATGATACATTTTACTTTAAATTAAAATTCAATATAATAATAATAAAAAATTTGAATCTCCAAACTTTTTATTTTGTTTTAGGTGAGAGATGATGAACTGGATGAATTAGATACACTGACAGCAGATTGCTGTTATGTCCCAGTGTCAGGGGGATGTGAAAATCTGCATGGCAAAGTAAACATTTTACTTCAGACATACCTTTCGAGAGGACGTATCAACAGTTTTTCTCTGATGTCAGATCAGGCTTATGTGTCACAGGTAACTTTATTTGTCTTTCAAGATCTGCATTTTGATTCATTTCTTGCATTCTGTTCACTTGTTTTTATCTGTTGCAGAATGCAGTGCGTATTGCCCGTGCACTTTTTGATGTGGTCATTAAGAAGAACAATCCCATAATGGCAGGACGCTTCTTAATGATGAGTAAAATGTTTGAGCTTCAGCTTTGGGATTTTCAAAGTCCAATGAGGCAGTTCCAAATCATCACTCCAGAACTGCAGGAAAAGCTTGAAGACAGAAAGCTCTCTGTTGAGAAACTCAGAGATATGGATGCTAAGGAAATCGGTGAGATCAGCATTTAGCATCTTTATTCTCCTACGAATGCTTGAGACTTAATGCATTTGTTTTTTATTTATTAAAATTATGTTGCAGGATCCTTCTTACGACATCCTAAGATGGGAGTTGTTGTTAAACGCTGTGCTGAAGAGTTCCCCTTGGTTGACATGAGTGCCTCCCTCCATCCTATTACCCGTACAGTCCTTCGCATTAGATTGAAGATTAAAGCAAATTTCAGGTGAGTCCTTTTTTTTTGTATTTTGGCATCAGGATGTGTTGATAAATATAATATGATTTGATTTGATTGTGTTTACAGGTGGAATGATAAGGTTCATGGCAAAACATCAGAGGCATTCTGGGTGTGGGTGGAGGATCCAGACAGTAACCACATGTATCACTATGAATATTTCCTGTTGACCAAGAAACAGGTTTGGCAATAATTTTCTTCCCATATTGTCAGCTGAGTCAAAAGTCAAGTGTACATGTAACTTTCATTTTTATTTTTATTCCTTCGTCACAGGTGTGTCACAGAGAGGAACAGGAACTTGTCATGACAATACCTTTGATAGACCCCCTTCCCCCTCAATATTATGTCAGAGCTACTAGTGACCGATGGCTTGGTTCTCAATCCTATTTAGAACTTTCCTTCCGTCATCTTATTCGGCCTGAAAGTCATCCTCCACACACAGGTATTTCTTTGTTCAGTGCAGTGCAACCCTCAACTGTCAGTATTAATTATGAATGACAATTTATTTTATTCTGCGTGAATTTGCAGATCTCTTGGAATTGCAACCCCTGCCAGTGACTGCACTAAATGAAACTCAGTTTGAATTATTGTACAAGTTTTCCCACTTCAATCCCATTCAAACCCAGATATTCCATTGTCTGTATCACACAGACAACAATGTTCTTCTCGGGGCACCGACAGGGTCTGGAAAAACAATTGCTGCAGAGATTGCAATGTTTAGGGTTTTTAAGCAGTATCCTGGAAGAAAAGTGGTTTACATTGCTCCTCTCAAAGCCTTGGTTCGGGAACGCATTGGAGACTGGAAAATACGATTGGAACAGAAGCTGAACAAGAAAGTTGTAGAGCTGACAGGAGATGTGTCTCCTGATGTGAGAGCCATTATTGCTGCGGATGTTATTGTGACCACCCCTGAAAAGTGGGATGGAATATCTCGTTCTTGGCAAACAAGGAATTATGTGCGTGATGTTGCTCTTATTGTTATTGATGAAATCCATCTCTTGGGTGAGGACCGTGGGCCTGTGCTGGAAGTCATTGTGTCTCGAACAAACTTTATTGCTTCACACACAACAAAATCTCTGCGCATTATTGGACTTTCCACTGCCCTTGCTAATGCACGAGATCTTGCTAATTGGTTGGGAATTGGTGAGGTATGTACTGTATGTAGTACAACATTCAAGTGTCAGGATTTACTGAGTCGTCTGTAACGGTTGTGTCTCTCTTTTACATTCTAGATGGGTTTGTACAATTTCCGCCCGTCTGTTCGGCCTGTTCCATTAGAAGTTCACATTGCTGGCTTCCCTGGCAAACATTATTGCCCCAGAATGGCAACAATGAACCGACCAACATTCCAGGCGATTCGACAACATTCCCCATGTCAGCCAGTGTTGGTGTTCGTCTCCTCAAGAAGACAGACTCGGCTCACAGCACTGGATCTGATTGCTTACCTTGCTGGAGAAGATGACCAAAAGCAATGGATGCACACTGATGAGCAAGAAATGGAACAGATAATTTCTGGAATCAAAGATTCAAATTTGAAGCTAACCCTGGCCTTTGGCATTGGCATCCACCATGCTGGTCTCCAGGACAGAGACCGTAGAACTGTTGAGGAATTATTTGTTAATCGCAAAATCCAGGTGCTGATTTTCATCCTTTCCTCAGAGCAATCAATTTTTTCTCCTTCAAAAATTTTATTTATTTTCCACTTTCAGGTTTTGATTGCTACTGCAACTTTAGCATGGGGTGTGAATTTCCCTGCTCACATGGTGGTTGTGAAAGGGACAGAGTACTATGATGGCAAGACGCGCCGTTATGTAGACATGCCCATTACTGATGTGTTGCAAATGATGGGCCGAGCAGGGCGACCTCAGCATGACGACCAGGGTGTTGCTGTTGTACTGGTACAAATAATGAATTGTTAAAATGGCTTACGTTCTTTAATACTGCTAAACTAAACCCCACTTTTCTGTCTAATTGTATGATTTAAGGTACATGATGTCAAGAAAAACTTCTACAAGAAATTCCTTTATGAACCTTTCCCAGTTGAATCTTCCTTGCTTGCTGTTCTTCCTGATCACTTGAATGCTGAAGTTGTTGCGGGAACGATTCGATCTCGTCAAGATGCATTAGACTACCTGACATGGACCTACTTCTTCCGAAGGCTACTTCAAAACCCTTCGTATTACAATCTTGAGTCTCTGGAGCCACAGGATGTGAATCACTATTTGTCAACTTTGATTGAAAAGGCATTCAGAGATTTGGGTATTGCTGGTTGTATCAAGATGGACTATGAAGTATGTTTACCTCATACCTTTTCCTGTTGCATTTGATTGAAGATCATAAAAATATATGTGCAAACTGTTTGTTACAGGATGAAAGAAGTGTCTTGACAACTTCATTTGGTCGTATTGCTTCATTCTACTATTTATCACATCAAACAATGATGCACTTCAGCAATGCTCTTAGATCTGATCTGTCTGATGAAGAAGTGCTGAAGGCGTTGTGTGATGTCCATGAATACTATGAGCTCCCAGTCCGCCACAATGAAGACTTAATGAATGCGTATGTACATTGAATAATCCTTGCAAGTTTCTTTTAAAAATATGAATGCTAACAATGAATTATTATGTTTTCATTACAGAGATCTAGCCAAAGATTGCCCTATACCTGTGGATTCAATGAACATGGACTCCCCTCATGTAAAGGCTAATTTATTGCTGCAAGCGCATTTCAGTCGTCTGCCCTTGCCCTGTGCTGATTATTTAACAGATTTAAAATCAGTTTTAGACCAAGCCATTCGTATCCTGCAAGTAAGTCTTCCATAAGTTGAGTACAATGCCATGTTTACCATGAAAGTTAAATGTTGTTTTTTGTTTCTCCCTTAGGCTATGATTGATGTTTGTGCAGAGAGTGCATGGTTGGCTACAACACTGCGTGCCCAACAGCTGTTGCAGCAAGTGGTTCAGGGTGCTTGGGCCAACAAATCACCTCTCCTGACACTTCCATTTTTTGAGCCACAGCACATGTACCTGTTTGCCAAAGTTGATGACCCAGCCCTTGCAACACTCCCTGGTTTAAAAGAAGCCTGTTTCAACAATTATGAAAAACTGGCTTCAATTCTTCGGGGAGACTTTGATGATGGAGAAATTGAGCAGGTATTGTTGACTCGCTGCTTTGCTTTTGCTATTATTTGAAACACATTAAATATTAAAATTATTCAGACTAATTTTTCTCCTCTCTTCTCACAGATACATAAAGTGTTATGTGAAATGCCTACAGTCAATGTGAATGTAAGCATTCGGGGCTGGTGGGATGGCAGCAGTCAAGATGAGGAAGCCGAAAGAAAGATTAAGATTCCAGCTGATCGGGAATCTTGGGTGGAAGTACATGCTGAACAGGAATACACATTGGTGGTATGTGTCTTTTTTGGCAACATTCAGTACTTCTATTGTATGCTAATTTACTAAGCCTCATATCTCTGCTCTCAGGTTAATATGCATCGTCTGAACCATTCTCGTGAGTTAAAGGCCCATGCTCCCAAGTTTTCTCGATCCAAAGATGAAGGTTGGTTCTTGACTCTGGGCTCTGTGGATGATAACGAGCTCTTGGCTCTCAAGAGAGTGAGTGGAGTCCGAGGAAGATCCTTGCAGCAGCTGTCATTTTTCACCCCATCAAAGCCAGGTATACTTTTATATTACGTTAAAGTTTGTGTTTTCTCTTACTTGGTAGTTGTTGAGTTACTTAATGGAATTTGACTTTGCAGGTCGTATAATTCTCACTTTATACTTGATGTCTGATTCTTACCTGGGACTAGACCAACAGTATGACATATACTTGGATGTGATTCCTTCCAATTTCAAGTGTCAGATCAACACTGATCTTGCTGGACTATCTATAGAATCGCTGGACAGCATAGAACCTCATGAAGAGACTGGTAATGAAGATGTCTCCCAAAAGTGGTGATAATGAAGCAGTTGTGCTTTTACTTTACTGTGATTATTGCAGGAAAAGTCATGCCAATGTATTGAAGATTTTATTCTTCCTGTCTGTGATACATGACCCTGTGATTTTGGAGAAGAAAGTTAAATCATAACTTTCCTTCTGCTCTTTCACACTAATGACATATTCAGAAATGGTTTCTTTGCTTTCTTGAGAACTGAATGGTTTCAAGGCATAAACCCAGTAATAAGTGAATTTATTTATTTTTCTCGTGTTAAATGTATTTGAAAACATTGTTTTGATGAAAATGTACTGAAACAAAACCTGTTTTTTTCATACTTAATATTTTTTTAAACCCTGAACATGGCCACTAAAAAGGTGTTGTCCGGTACTTTTTCTTTGACTTCTTTAAATTTATAATTTTTGTATTGTTGTATTTGTGGAAGCATATCTGTTTTCCTCTATCCCACTGATTGTCGGTGAAGTCTTGTTTCAAAAATAAAAAAATGCATCAGTAAAAGTTTTGTTTTTATTCCACAACATTTTCCTTTTCCATATCACAATTGATTAGATATCTATTTGACTAAAATTGAAACACATAACAACAGAATGACACATACTAATGATAAAAGCCGCTCAATTGCAATTGATAATAGGGTCCAATAGTACCGTGCTTCATTAGCTACCTGCTTACTGCATTCTGTGCTGTTGCATCCACAGTCAGCAGACTTATCACTACCGAATCGACCGTATAGCTGTCAAAACAAGAATATCAACTCTGTTGAAGCAACCACAAGCTGTAAAAGAACGTTCTAACGTGCTTGCGACGCAGCCGTCCTAGTCGGGCTGCTGCAGGCCTGCTGCGATTGGCTTCCCGCCTTGGAGGTAGGCAGCCCATCGTACCAGACTCGCTCACCAGTGCCCGTTGGGCTGCCTACCTGCAGGCTGCAGGGCCTGCAGCAGACGCGTCGCGTGACAAGACAATCCAGTAAAGGCCTCACCTGCGAACTCCCTTTCCTGTACTCCTCGCCATCTGGGTCCAGCTCGTCTTCAGCAAGCCTTTGTTGGACCTGTCGAATAGGTTTACGGGTAAAGAATGTTTGCAGAACCGGCAATCTGATTTTACGGCTTAATTTAGGAAGCGGGGTTTCGAACCTGGTCCGACGTGAGATTGAGAACCAGTCTGAGTAGTGGCACACTGAGTAGGCGGCAGAGAAAGAGCGGGGGGCCGCGCACCACGCCGTCGCGCGTCGCGTCCCTCGCCAGCGCCGTCATGATGGCCGACACCATCACCGACGCGGCCACCACGCACGACGCGTAGCAGTACAGTTCAACTAGACAAAAAAAAATAAAGAAAGAAAAACAATTTAAAAATACGTATTTAAAAAAAGGAAAATGGAACCTATGGCAAGGTAGTTGACTCACGGACGACGGGGATGCCGGTGAGCCCTGGCGGGCAGGCGACCTCGAACAGGACGAACGAGAGCACGAGGAGCACCAGCGACCCGCACCCGAAGAACACCTTGTCGCGGGGCAGCGGTTCCTGCACCCAGTAGGCCAGCAGACTCAAGACGGCGACCGCTAAAAAAACAAAAAAAATAATAGAAACGGGCAAAGGTGTCGGTGGGATTCGAACCCTCGACCTGTACTGACCGAGGAAGGGCGCGATGAGGATGCGGTTCATGACGGGCGTGCTGCGTCTCAGCGTGACCACGACGCTGATGGCGTTGTCGGACGTGACGGAGGTCGCGTGGATCTCATGGCGGGTCACGTTCAGGCTGCTGTGCACCAGGTGCCACCGCGGGCGCGCAGCCCTGTCCAGCACCTACGGAACGCCGGAACGCCTTACAGTGAAGCGCCGCCCCTGACTTGGAACGCCGCTCTCGGCGCGTCTGGCCAGACTCACCCAGTCGTCCTTGGCGGCGCGCATGAGAAGCAGGGTGCTGCCCTCCGTGCCGCGGCCCGTCAGCACGAGCTTCACCTCGCACGTGTGCTGGTCGTTGGGCCACTGGCTGGCGTCCAGGCTGTGGCAGTAGGCGCTGGCGCTGAGCGGCGACTCCCAGCGCACCACGCCGCTGGAGTGCACGTACACCAGCCCGCCGTCCGTCTCCACCACACCGCTGGGGCGCGAGTGAGGTTAGCGTAGGTTAGGTTCGTTTGGGTGAGGTTAGGTTAGGTTAGGCTACTCACTTGGGCACGTGGAAGTGGGGCGCCAAGCGGCGGGGGCTCACGGGGGCGATCCTGATGTCATCGAAGTCGCTGGACTCCCAGCCCAGGCCCGCGGCGTGCCACATCTGCAGCAGGGAACAGTTTCACTACGTCGCACCGGACGCACCAGAGGTCCTGCAGCAGGGGGATGGACTCACCACCAGGACACGGCCCTTCAGCTCTATCATTCCGCTGTAGTCATCCTGAGCAGAGTGCAAGTTAGTGATCGACCGGCCACACAGAACGACAGAGAGAAACGGAACAGGGAGACCCACCAGGCAAACCGTGCTGACGTTAAGGCGCACCACGAACTCAATACCTTGCGTCGGCATGTAGCGGGACAGGTTCCTGTCCAGGATGCCCTTGAGCGCCGCGGACGTGGTCGGTGGCAGCGTTCTCGGGGGCGGCACGAGCTCCACGGGTAAGTCCGAGTCCGGCTCGCCTATCGCCGGGCCGCCGTCCGCCCCCGGCTCGAGGTCCGGCGTGTAGTCCGGCTCCGGCACATCGTCGGTCTCCTCGGGCACCGCGACGATGTCGTCCTCGTTCGGCGTCTGCCCCTCTGTGCGCCAACGGGAAACAGAGGGTGAGGCATGGTGCGGGGGGAGGGGCGGCTCTGCCACGTGGCCGACGTGGCCGACGGTACCGACGGTAGTCCCACCTTTGCACCCGTAGAACCAGGTGCCGTTGCCCACCGACCTGCTGGTGGCCAGGCTGAAGAAGCGCAGCTCGGGGAACTTGGCGGCGGCCGGCGCCACCCAGGACAGCATGGGCTTCTCGATGCCGATCCTGCCCACCTCGAGGCGGCGCGCGGCCGTGTCCTGGCGCACCCAGAAGCCCCGCAGCTCCTTGACGGTCAGCAGGCCCGGCAGCCTGACCGTGGCCACCCTCCTGCCCAGCGAGTCGATGCTCGTGGCGCCGTCGTGGGACAGGTCCACCTGCGGCACCGCTCACTCTTAGTGGATTTGCCAGAAGACCGGCGCCGGCGGCCAAAACTCTGAACGCGTTTTGAGTCCCCCGAGAGAGACGGCTGCTCACCTCGACGAGCGCGTCAACGGCGGGCGGCAGCATGTTCTCCAGGCGGATGTGGCCGGAGCCGGCGGCGCGCAGGTGCACGAAGATGGTGCGGCTCGTGCCGTTCACGACGCCCTCGCGCTCCACCGAGAAGTACTGCGAGTGCGAGTAGGAGTAGGTGACGAGCGGCCGCGAGCAGCTGTTCTTCGCCGCCGTCTGTTTGTCTGCAAGCCAAACCGATTCAAACCGGGCCCGTCACACGGCAACGCTCTGGATTCCAGTTTGTGACTTACGCTTGGCACAGCCGAACACCCAGATGGTTTCGTTGCCGGCGCTCGACCCGGAGCACACGCTGAAGTACCGCAGCGGGAAGGGGTTCGGGTCGCGCCACGCCATCTGCAGCTGGCCGTCGGCCGAGGTCACGTTGATGACGCCCGTCTTGATGTCGTGGCTGATGGTGAACGTCTTGAGCTCGCTCTCGGAGAGCAGGTCGTGCTGCCTCACGGACGCCACCTTCTGCTCCTTGCCGCGGTCCAGGTTGGTGTAGTTGTGGAAGCCGAGGTCGATCTGGGCGGCGTGGAACACGGTCGAAAAAGGAATCATTTCAAAAGGCCGGGATAGCGAGCGAAGTGAAGTGCCACTGGGTCGTCACCTCGTACACGTCCTCGGTCGGCGGCGGCAGGCTGGGCACCAGCTGCAGGTGCACGTCGCGGCGCCCGGCCACCTGGAAGGTGAGCCCGCTGAAGCTGCCCGCCACCACGCCCTCCTCGCTCAGGGCGAAGTAGCTGTCGAAGCGGTACTTGAAGGTGTGCACGACGCGGCACGAGTCCGCCATGGCCAGCGCCTCCTTGAGCGCCTTGCCGGGCACCGCCGGCGGCACGGTGGGCACCGCGGGCCGCGTCGCCAGCGCCGCGTCGTCCATCTTGTCGTACCCTGCGAGGGCAGGCCACCGCGTGCAAACTACTTCGAGGAGGGAATCGGACTCAGGGGCCGGCGGGGCGGGACTCACCCTGGCAACCGTGCAGCCAGCTCGACGACCTCAGGTACCCGGTGGAGTAGGTGACCTCGGTGACTTGGAAGCCAGTGGAGAAGGGCGCGGACAGCGAGGGCCGTGTTTCGAGGCCCTCGTACACCTCGAGGCGGGTGGTGTTGAACAGGATCTGCGGGAAGGAGAACCAGGAGTCAGATTGAGGTTCGGGCTGGACGAGCACTACGCTCAGCCTTCTCACCGTGAACAATCTGTACTCGGAGTACGACAGGCAGTCTCGGCACGGGCTCCGGTCCAGGATGATCATGTCGTTCTTCTTGATGGCCATCACGTTGCCGTGCGTGTTCAGGTCGATCTGCAACGCGGCAGAGCGGGCAGACCACATGAGGGATGCTAGGCAAACTCAACTCTGCACCCAAAGACGCCGTTTCTTGAACCACCAAGCGAATTTCGTTGACTGTTTCAAGAACCTCCACTTATGTATTTCACAAGTCAATTTTCTTGGTTCAAAAAACGCGCGTGACGGTCAGCACACTCACGTGGTAGTTGACGTTGCTGGGGAGGCCGGTGAGACGCACGAAGGGCCGGTCGGTGGCCTTGACCATGAAGCGCACGGCCTTGGCCGCGCCGCCCGCGCCGGCCCAGGGCACGGCCTCGTCGTCGATGGGGAAGGGGCCCGCTGCCGGCGGCGGGTGCAGGAAGAACGTCGACCTTCGCGAGTCCGCGAGGATGTGCTTGCGGCAGCCCAGCCCCTCGTACCGACAATTTCGTTGTTGTAATTTGAAGCAATTTTTGAATCAAACAAAAAGGGCTGAGAAGTCATCTTACGAGGGGCGACGCGGCGAAGCCTGTGGTGGGGGTCGCACTGCAGTTGTGCACCCAGTTGGAGTGCGCGTTGAACGAGTAGGCGCTGGGCATCTGGAAGCGGGGGTCCTTGTAGGAGACCAGCGGCGTGTCGCGGCCCGCGCGGCCCACGGACACCTCCCCGGCGCCGGCGGGCAGCGCGACGATGCGCACCCAGAAGTAGCGGATGGAGTTGGGCGCGAGCAGCGAGGTGAGCACCGGGAGGGTCTCGCCGGTGGGGCGCGGCTCCGGGTCCGTCAGGTCCTCGCGGTCGATGCGTACCTCCCCGACGGGGTCGATGGTCAGCTGGAGGAAGCGAGCGAGTGCTGAGGCCGCCGCCAGGGCCACCAGGGCCGCCAGGGCCGCCGTCAGGTTCACTGCAAGGACGATCTAACTTACCACGTAGTTGATGTCATCCACGGACGCGTCGGACTTGGTGACGTCGCGGCCCAGCGTCATCACCGCGGGGCCGGCACCCTTGTAGCCCACGATCATGGTCAAAGAACCGTTCTCGGCGCCGGCGGTCTGTGGCAAGGGGAGGGGGCCGTCACTCAATGCGTCAGCAAGCGTGTTTTCGAAACGGGGGAAAAGGGAAACTACGCACCGCGTTCGGCAGCGGGAAGGTACGCTGCATGGTGGGCCTGTGGTGCAACCACAGCGACGGCGGCGGGGTCATGTGGCAGCTGTAGGGCACCGCGGCCTGCGCCCCCAGCGCCGCCAGCAGCAGCGCCGCCACCGTAAGCACGCAGCCTGCCTGCAACAGCAAGCCCTTCAGCGTCACCGCCACGTCCACAGAACGGAGCGCGCGCGGCGCGGCGGACGCGGTCCCCGGGACGTTTACCGTCGGCCACTGCATCTTGGACGCGAAGCGCGAAGCGCAGCACCGGGTGCGGACGGACAGACCCGGGTCACCACACCGCGAGGCGCCGCGCTGCACACTGCACCGGCACGAGGGGAAGGTCGGCGTCGGTCGGCGTCGGTCGGCGTCGGTCGCGCTCTGGAGCTGCTCGCTACTCCGCTGCCGGCGGCCTCCAGTCTCTGCGGCGATGCGGCCGGGCGGAGGTTGCGCAGTGGCCGCCCGGGGCAGGAAACTCTTATCCTGGCTGGGGCACAGTCAAGCCAGGGGCGGAAGGATAAGAAAGAGGGGGGGGGGAGGAGGGGTCAGCCTCCCGGCGAGCACAGCGTCGACGCGGCGAAGGTCAAGACCACGAAGGCTGCCAGCGAAAAGACGCCCCGACGAACTCTGCGAGGAACAGTCTTCGAGGCGAACGCCGAAATGTTTATGTCTTATTAGTGCCTGCTTCCCCCTCCACCGAGCATGAAACCCTTCCCGGGGGCGGCTGCAGAGATTATGAATTTTACGAGTTACAGTGCGGCCGCCAGACTGCGGCTCAGCTGTGTGCCGCCGCGGCCCAGCAGTTCCTCGCAGAACGACTCGCACTTGTCCGAGTTTAGCCGGGATTAGATCCGTGACATAGGTGAGGGCGGCGACGGGAAGAGGGGGGGGGAGGGTTTGGCCCCGACGGCCGCCACTCAGATGGTCATTAAAGTCTTCCACGAGAATCCCTGAAGCTACCTCGCACAATGACGGCCGAGAAGGGAAAAGGAAAAAACGCGAAAAACAAGGGCAGGGCATCGAGGTGGGCAGACAATGAAGTCCTCAAGGACCCCTCGGCTCCGCGGCCGAGGCTCCGCTCTCCCGGCAGCTTGTTGAGCTAGCCTAATTATCGTCCACCATGCTAATGCAACTTTAAAAAGGCAGAGAGAGAGAGAGAGAGAGAGAGAGGAAGAGAAGGGAAACGGGGCTGGGAGGCAAAGCGCACTTGATCACGACCCGTTCCTGCGCATTTGTAGCCAACGCTCGCTTTTGTACGTCAGTACGTCCGCTCGAGTGTACATGAAAAAAAAACTATATCCCAAATAATGGAAACACAGGCGCTGAATCCTGTCACAGACGCATATGTGGGTTGAAACAGAGGAAACCCTTTCCTTCCGAACAACAACAAAATAACAACAACGTCGCTTCTGTTCCACGTGTTACGTGACGGTGGTGCACCCCGGCGTGGCTGATAAGACCGCCGTGGATTGGCTGCTGCGAATGGAGGCCGTGGATGTCCTCATTAACCGCAGAGGCAGCTGAGCCCCGCCATGCCAGGCCTAATCGCCGAGGCAGTGAGGCGGCGTCCCTGGGGGGCCTCACCGCCTCCACGGCCTCCAGGGCCTCCAGGGCGTCCAGGGCCTCCACGGCGTCCAGGCCTCCACGGCGTCCAGGGCCTCCACGGCGTCCAGGGCCTCCACAGCCTCCACGGTGTCCATTGTGTCCGCGGCGTCCACGGCCTCGTCGGGCAGCGGAAGCACGGCGTCCAAGTCCTTGACGGCCTCCTCGGCGCCCGGCAGGTAGGCCGCGCGGCCCGGTCGGCGCACCGGAGTGCCGCGGGCTGGCCCACCCCGCGCTGCGCAGGCGCTACGGCGCCAGCCGCCACCGGACCTGCAGACGGCGCCGCGCTCAGCGCTCGACTCACAGCCGCAGGAGCCAAAGGCCGCAAAGGGCCACGTGTACACTGAGTAGAGGTGCTTCCAGCAAGGGGCCCGGGCAGTGCCGCGCCACCCCGAGCGTGAGAGGCAGAGACAGAGCGACGAGACGATTCTACGAAATCGGCCCGCAGGCCGACTGTAAGCCAGGCTGGTCGCGTGGAGTAGCGCGCCAGCCTCTCACCGCCGTCTTGAGGCATTGTCTTAGAGCCGCGCACTCCACCGCGAGGAGCTGGCAAGCCGGGAAGCCCTCTCGAAAAAAGAGGAAAAAATGTTCTGGCTAGTATTTGATCCCGCGGACTCGGAAAGAACCCGCGAAAAGAGACAATCGAAGTGGAGCAAGACGCGGGCGACGTCGCCGAGGAGTCCTGGTCGGCCTGGCCCTCCCCGCGCCCCGTGGGCCGCCGCCCCGTCACCCCTTTTCGCCCACGGCCCATTGAGCGCATTACACCAATCTGGGCGCGGCTTACAATTATTTTGAATTGCCGCGATAAAAATTGAAACACATCGATGGCCTGGTGGCGAGGGGAGCCGCTTAGAAGGTGGCTGCTGCTGTTGTTGCTGTCGTGACGCCGCGCTGTTCTTGTTGTTGTTGTTGTTGTTGTTGTTGATATTTAGAGAGAGCTGGAGATGTTCCCCTGCAAGCAATCTCCAGCGCAGCCGCCCAGGTCTCCAAATCGACTTCCCCAGTCGATATCTCGCGGCCCCCCGTGGGGCCCCGGCTTGTGGCCCCGCCCCGAGAAAGCGTTTGCATTCTCGACGATTTCATTTAAAGCGGCTCTCTCGCTGTTCGTTCCTCCTTCTCCCTCTCTCCCTCTCTCTCTCTCTCTCTCTCTCTCTCTCTCTCCCCCTCTCGGATCTCCTCGAACAAATAAGACCGCGGAAGCCGCGTCATGCCGCCCCTCCTCTTACATGCGTCGGATAAAAAGAACAACAAAGAAACAAACAAAACAAACAAAACAAAGGGGGGTGGGGTGGGAGGGGGTGCGCTCTGGTTTTACGATTATGACCTCAGCATTTGCACGGAGACGAGTCTCGTCTGACAGGGCGGATGGCGAGGCGAGGCCCGCCCAACAGGAGCCGCCAGGACACTAAAAACGGGAAAAAAGGCAAATAGAAACGCCCCTTGTTTTCCCTTTGAGGAAAGTCTCCTTTACTCGCGGCAGTTTTCGCTGCGGCGCCGCGCGCGGGGAAGACGAGGACGAGACATCCGAGCCACCCAGGTCGATTCATTGAAACGAATGCGGGCCACTGTCTCTCTCTAGGTGTGCGTGGACGGGGAGGGGAAGGCGGTATTGTGGCCGACCCACGCGCAGCACCGCGTTTTATAGCCAATTCTCCCTCATACCGATAAAAATGAGCGAATCCTCCGAAAAAGGAAGAGCAACGCGAGAACAGAGATCAGCGGACATTTGTTGAGCCATTGGCTGCGCGCCCTGCGTCGCCCTGCCTGCTTGGCCTGGCCGCACTTGCGGTGTGGTGGTGCACCGAGCGGCCGAGAGGGGGAGACGAGGAAAATAAAGAGGGAGTGTCGGCCGGCCGGCTAACTAGCCACAACTGCTCGTCACCCCTTTGGCCGCCTTGGGCAGCCTTTGGCCTTTGTGGGCGCATGCCGATAATCGCCACTAAAATATGGCGGGAATAAAACTAGGAATCGCAAAGCAGCGCCGGAGCAGGGTCGTAAACCGCGTGCACATGGACAGTGCAGCCAACTTTGGCGAGAAAAAAAAGACAAGAGATGAAATAAAAGTTGGCATTTCGTCTTTGTTCCTGCGCCGCCTGGCGTCCTGGTGGTGTCCGGGGGCGTGGCGTGGCGGGGCGTGGCCGCAGCCTCGCTGGGTCACTAATGCCTCGCGATTGACAGCAAAGGGGTGGCCTCCTTGACGGACCGCGGTGGCGCGGCCACAATGCACGGACGACGAGTAATAAACCGGCCGCCATTCTGTGGCCGACTTTTCCCCCGTTTTCCACCGAAAATAATCTCCGCCACTTTACGAGGCAGGCGGGCCGAGGCGGGCCGACCAGATGTCCGGCGGAACGGAAAGAGTTGTCGCGTAAAACGGGGCCGCCGCGGAGGGGAGTCGAACCGCGGACCGTCGTAACCCAGTCCGGAGTGTCGCCGAGTGACACCGTTTAGCCGCGCGGCCGAGCCGTGAACCGCAGAGCACTCTGCTTCAGATCCACAAGTGTCAACAAGTGCGCGGTACCTCGCAAGACAGCGCTTCTTTCCGGCAAAAGCTCTACCCGCGGCTCTACAGCTTTCGGATTCGGGGGGCGGTCTGGAACGCCTGATGGAGTTCCTTATCTTGGCGGCCTTTTTTTAAAGCGTCGTAAAACACGGAATTATGTAATCGCGTCCCCGGAGAGTCCCGGAGTCCGGCAGCGTGGCAAGGCACTGCAAGGCAGGCACCGGTCGCCAGAAAGTCGTCACTTTTGACAGCCGCGTGTCTGCGGCCCGCCAGCCTGTCGCTTAGGCCTAATTGGAGGGCCATGAAACCGTGCGCTGCCTCTCCCACGAGTGCGAGAGAGACAGAGTGACGAGCTGGTGCCACCAGACTCCCCCGAGTTTCGCGTGTCCAACTGCAAGGCCCGCGGGACTTGAACGCACGCGGGCGCGGTGCTGCACTGCACTCGGCGTCCTCGTCCTCCTCCACCGTGAAGGTCATGAAGGAGGGGCGGAATAAGATTTCGCGAATGTGTCCGGGTCGCCTCAATCTTGTGAGTGGAGTGTGACATTTATTTCCTCGTCACCCCTTTCGGGTTGTCCGGGTCGCAATCGGCAGCACCGTCCCTCTCTCTCACTCGCCCACATATCGAAAGGGCGCCGCGAGGGGAACACGACACCCGTGCTAGTCTGTCTCTCTCGCACCGCCGCGAAGCGCCCCACGAGTGCGAGGGAGACAGAGCGCTGTTCGACACAAGGGCCGTACCCCAAGGGCCTTCCCTTCTTTGCAAATCGCCGCGCTCGACTCGCATCCAGGCCTCGTCACTCGGGGCTGCCCTTTCCCGTCTCTCTCCTCCTCTCCCTCCCTCCCTTCCTCCCTCCCTCCCTCCCTCCCTCTCCGATATGGATTTATTTCGCCTTTGTCCGCGCGATAATCTCGCAGCGTCCGCGACACTTGTTGTGGCGTCTCGCAATTTCGCGCCAAAAAGGACAGAAAAAAAAGGGCGGCTCGTTTCGGCTCCTTTCTTAGCGGGCGGTGGAATTTGTTCGTTTGCGCGGCGCGGCGCGGCGCGGCCTGCCTTCGGATTGGAGCGAGAAGACGCCATGCAAAGCAAGGAGGGGACGGGACGCTCTCCACCTACTTGGATTTTACTGCGGGTTGCGTGCGAGATATCGGGGCAGCTCGGCACGCCTCGTTTGATAATACCCGGGCCGCGTGCGGGGCGCGGCGCGCTCTCTCCGCCGCAC